CTTCACGATTCGTCGGCTCTTTGGTTAATTTTTAAAAGCAAACATCAGAAATTTTGTCGAGAAAAGTCACAAAATTGGCATACAGAAAATCAGGATGTTGGACATCCGTCAGGCAGAAGAGAGAGCACACAAACTTTGAACGAGAACAGTAACCGGATTCACTAACGAGTCTCTACACGGGTGACGGCACGACTGCCTCCATATTTCGTGCCACTGATCTATATACATATAATGCGTAGATCCTTATGTACTTATATTTTACGTTTTTAATTCGTACGTTATTTATCAAATTATATTTTCGGTGAGCAGTTTACTAACTCGATCCAATTATTCAAAGTAATCACTAACAAGATTAATTACTTGACAAAGTTGCGGAATAAACAAACAACAACATGATTATGATAGCAAACAACGAGGTCTTCGCACCATGGAAATGCACAGTTCGTAACTCTATATTTGTTGAATTCTATTTTAGCGTTATCTTGTGCACACAGTGGTCACAGTTAGGACTTAACGAATTATCAAGCCAGCTGTCAATGGAAGCCAATTGTGAATAATGGAGCATTGAATTTATAATCACGCCAACCTAGGCCAGCGGACGGGCCGCGCACACCGCCCTTACCGCCCGACGCCCTGACCACTACAAAGCACGGTAGATTAGCGCCATTGTTTGAAAGTGGGCTTAGCAATATAATTTACATTCACAATAAAGTCCTTGAAATAGAAACGTGGGTAATAGGTACACATTTACATTCTCTCAGCTAGTATCTATCTAATGCTATTTATAAATTCACATACCTGAATTTGAGTCACTGCAAAGGAGCCTCTCAGGAACCACGATCGTAAATTCGTACTTCCTTTTACCTTAGGAAATGTAAAAGTGACAATGCCTATAATATAATCTTACCTATGTTAGCATGAAAATTCAAGTGTATTTAATATTTATCTGTAGTAATAAAATACGCAAATATGTCAACGAATTAATAAAGCCTATCGGTATTACCCACGACTTAATGCATCAAGTATGACTAAAGAGTCCTACCCATCTAAAGTACCTATCTGCTAATTCCGTACTTGTAATTTAGTTACACGCCAACAATAGGTTATAAATAAAGTCACTTTCACATTTATTAGACGGATAAGGATTCTATTTGTTTTGCAACCTTTCCTCGATAATGCGGAGAAAATTAATTAATCCGTAGTTACCTACTCCGTTCATTTTATAACATCATAAAATTTCATTATAATACATTTCATTAGATGCTTTATGGTTTCATCTTTTTGATGATAATAAAATATGTCCATATATTAAAATGTACAAAGCATTAAAGTTGGTTAAAAGTACAGATAACATTATATTTTAAAAGTATCTTTATTAATATTCCGGGCACTTGAAACTTTCAACCCTATTGCCAATATAGTACCTAACATTAAAGTTTACTAGCTGACCCGCACAACTCCATCTGCGAGTGTAATCACTTGCTTGACATTTATCATTATATTTCGCGCAATTTACATAATATGTTTTTAAGTTGTAGCCTATGTGTTATTCTGATGTATAAACTATGTTTTTATAAGGTTTCATCAAAATCCCTTCAGTAATTTTTGTGTGAAAAAGTAACAAACAACCATCCATCTATCTATGCTTTCCATACTCACAAATTTTCGCGTTTATTATATTAGTACGGTTAATCTTTTGCCTGCGACTCCATATTGATTTATTGTTTGTAACACAAACTAACCTATTTCACCCATACCTTCTAGTTAATGCAAAATGATCTAAGTAAGAAACTATCTACTTATTTATATGTAGGTACTTAAAATAATTTCAAAGTTTACTGTTTTACATTAAATAGCGGACGCGCGTGACTTCGTCTGCATCACACTTATTATTATATGTCGCTCAATTTACATGATATCATTTTAAATTATAGCCTAAATTAAATTATAACCAAATTGAAGAAAAAATAATAGCTTTAATTTAATGACGTGTTCAAGTAAGCAAACTCCTTAATTCCAATTACTTATTTGGTCAATGCTGCGTTACTTAATCAGAATATGATTACGTATTTTCTACATATATATGAAATTATTAATTTATTCCATATTTATCAGCTTTCACGAATTTTCAATCAATTACGTACACTCACGAAGTGTCGGTAGTATCGTGTCTAATATCTTTAGCAGAAAACAGGTGAGGTTGTAATAAATGGCGAGATAGGGCTGGTCACGTGCAGGTCATCCCATTTATGCTTCTTGTGAACACTGAAGGAAGTGCTGCAATTACCTGTGATGGATAGTGAGAGTTAGATGCGGCCGTAAGGGTCGCGCCATCCATATAACTTTCTTATCTACCTTCGAAGGGAAACTTTATGACATCTTTACGAGAATCGAAAAATATGGACGACCCTTGACATTAAAACGCTAGCCTCGTTTAAGGAAATCCTCGTAGTAGATGAAGTTTACCGTGACTGGCCGTCAGTTATCGAAAACTCGAGTGCATCTAATTTAACTTTCGCTCCAGTTTGGGAAAAAGTAGGTACATTATTATATTATTTGAGGCAGTAAATATACTTGCTGGAATTTAAATAACATTTTCACATGCCACGCTTATCTACTTAGTATTACTTACTATATATAAATATACAAGAAATTGAATTTATTAAAAAAAATACAAATGCAAACTTGTTTAGATTTCGTGTAAACTACGAGACTACAAAGGGCGACAAAGGGAAAGCAATTGGAATTGGAATTGGTAATTGTTCATCAGAATATACAAAGTTTTCCCGGCAGTGAGTTAATTATACAATTATTTTTGGAAAAATACAATATTGACATTATCTGTTTCACTGAACATTGGCTTAAAGAAAGCAATATGATGTTCAGTTTAAATAATTATAATGTTGTCAGCTGCTTCAATAGAAAGTCAGTTAACAGAGGTGGGTCTATGATAATTGCAAGAAATAATATTAAAGTAAAGGAACGTGCTGACATTATTAGACTTTCTATTGAATGTTGTACAGAAATCTCATGTATAGAACTAGATAATTATATACTTATATGTGTTTACAGGCCTCCTAATAGTGATTACAATGTATTTGAAGAGGTGATGGAGGATATTTTAAAAAAAGTATTTAATAGCAGTAAAAAAATTATTGTGTGTGGAGATTTTAATGTTTATATTCTTTGTATCCCAAACACTAAAATGTCCAGACTTGTGGCGGCGTGGTGGGGTCATTGGGCTCCCTAAAATATGGTCGAGCGCAGTGATGGCTGGCTCATCCGTCATACTCGGGAACGGGTACTGCTTGTAGGGACTGGTCTGCTCTAGTCACTACGACTGATTTCCTCTTATTAATTATTTAACCAGTTGGTTATACATTCAATATTTTTTCTATTTGAGTATTTAATTGAATTAGTGCTAATTGGTGGTTTGTATTCACACACTTAAAACTTAAAAATGTAAATGTCATATATAGATGTGGGTACTTACTTTTATACTTTGTTGATTAATAAAGTGTATTAATGTAGGTAGGTACAATATCTTCTTTACATAAAGTGATAGAAGCTACATAGCACGTTTTATTTAAAATACTATATCTTGAGGACATATTAGTGGCGACGTAGTGTAAAAGTACTAAAATGGACACAAAAGCTGTGAAATTCGATGAGTTTAATCCTCAAACGGACAATTGGGACATATATTTTGACCGGCTAAAAATTTGTTTCGAGACAAATGGCGTCATTACAGATTCGTCTAAACGAGCAAATTTCTTTACTGTGTGTGGATCACGAGTGTTTGAAACGTTACTAGCATTAATTACACCTAGAAAAGCGAGTGAAGTGACATTTTTGGAAATAGAAACTATTCTAAATAAACATCACAGCCCGAGACCGATGGGTTCAGCACCGATAGATATTAACGCTGTCCAGTCAAGAGCTTCCATTCGTTTTTGCTACCGATGGGGTAACCGGCACAATGGACAATGCAGATTTTTAAATGCCATTTGTAGCTACTGTAAGAAGAAGGGTCACCTTGAGAAGATTTGCATTAGTAAAAAGAAATGCAAAACTAATACTGTTAATTTCGCTGAAGAATCAGATGACTGTTTGAATGGAATTTACTGTATGTCAAGTGTGAGTCGCATGTCGCCTTATGAGGTGATAGTTTCACTGGCTGGAGTGCCAGTCTGTATGCAATTGGATACAGGAGCAAGCTATTCTATAATAAAGGAGCAACTTTGCACACAGATGCCACAAGCCGTACTGCGCCCTAGCACATTGTCATTACGAACATGGACAGACACACCGGTCCAAATACTCGGTCAAGTAACACTGCCTGTATGTTATAAGGATGTCTCACAAAATTTGTGTGTTATTGTGGCCAAGGGGAATGGACCAAACCTGCTTGGTCGAGACTGGCTTGCTGCTTTTAACTTTACAATGAAAATTAATTTTGTAGCAAATACGGATATCAAAGCAATATATGCAATCCTATCTAAACATAAGGAAGTTTTCAAAAATGGACTCGGTACCTACCGTGGACAGCCTGTGACTATACATGTGAAACAAGGAGCAACTCCAAAGTTCCTTAAAGCTCGTCCGGTGCCATTCGCTATAAAACAAAGGGTTGAAATTGAGATTGCTAGATTAGAAAGTGAAGGAGTATTACGCCAAACGTCTTTCTCAGATTGGGCTACACCGGTAGTGCCAATAATAAAAAAAAGTCAGGGGAGATAAGGTTGTGTGGAGATTATCGCAGCACCGTAAATGAGGCAACTGAATCTGATACCTATCCTATGCCTACAGCGAATAAAGTATTTGCTGCAGTTGCTGGTTGTAAATTTTTCACCACCTTAGATTTAGATCGGGCGTATACCCAGGTTATGGTAGATGAGAAGACTTGAAAACTCCTTACTTTGAATACTTGCAAGGGCCTTTACACTGTACATCGCCTGGCCTTCGGTGTTAAAGCATGCCCCGGAATTTTTCAACGTTTGATGACATCTTTACTGGGTGGTATCGCAGGTATCGCTGTTCTAATTGATGACATAATAATCGGGGGTCATACTTTGCTGGAAATGCAAGAACGATTTAACGAAGTACTAGGAAGAATTGAACGTGCAGCACTACGTCTAAATAAAAACAAATGCAAATTCGGCCAAGAAAGAGTGGAGTTTCTAGGCTTTGTAATTGATGAGAATGGCATCCATCCTGCACCAAGTAAGGTTGAATCTATTGCAAATACTCTTGAACCTAAAAACAAACGAGAATTACAAGCTTTTCTTGGTCTTTATAATTTTTATGAGAGGTTCATACCTCATAAAGCCACTTTATTGGAGCCTTTACATCGTTTGCTGGATACCCGGCAAGAATGGCATTGGACTGAACGGGAACAAAATTCATTTGAGACGGCAAAGCGATTATTGACATTTGATTTAACGTTAGTACATTATGACGTAGCTAAACCTATAACACTTACTTGTGATAGTTCAGAATATGGTGTAGGAGCTGTATTGTCATATGTAACAGATAATAACGAATTTCCTATAGCTATGGCATCTAGAACCTTACATTCTCATGAACGGCGTTATTCACAGCTTGACAAAGAAGCCGCTTCAATTATGTTTGGCATAAAAAAGTTTCATAACTATCTCACAGGAAGACAATTCTGTATAATAACAGACCACAAACCATTGCTTGGTATATTTGATCCGAAGAAGCCAATGCCTAATATGATTTCACCACGGTTGACGAGAATTGCCATAGCCTTGACATCTCATAACTATGAGATAAAATATAAGCCACAACCAGTACAAAGTGAACCTCAAACACATATTGGTGAGGTTTTGTTAATGGCTGAAGCTCCAGAAGATTTTCCATTTGACGCAGAAGATATAGCTAGAGAGACAAATCGGGATAAAATCTTATCTAATGTTATTTATTACATACAAAGGGGATGGCCTGCAAAAGAAACCGACGCTGATTTACGACCATTCTGGTTACATCGCACAGAACTGTCACTGCAAGAAAATTGCATACTTCTGGGATGCCGCGTCGTAGTACCTCACACTCTTCGTCGAGCAACGCTCCAAATACTACATAAAACACATACAGGTATAGTTCAAACGAAAGCACTGGCTAGAAGCTACGTTTGGTGGCCTGGACTAAATGAGGACATAGAACTTCTAGTTGGTGGTTGTGTTAAGTGCTTGGAAAATCGACATATGCCTCCTAAGACTACACATGAATGGATTACACCTTCGAGACCTTGGTCAAGAATCCACATCGATTTCGCAATACAAAATACTTTTTTTTGGACCGTATCACAACAAATATTTTTTAATTATAGTCGACGCATATTCCCGATGGCCTGAAGTATTCATGGTATATAATACAACAACAGCCACGGTAATACGATTGCTGAGAACGACCTTTGTAACTCAGGGTCTATGTGAAGTTTTAGTATCGGATAATGGTACATCGTTTGTATCAGGAGATATGAAGTATTTTTTGCAGGCCAATAGAATTCGTCAGGTAACTACAGCACCTTACCATCCGGCGACCAACGGATTAGCAGAACAGATGGTACAGACAGTCAAAGATAAACTAAAGAAAATGAATGATTTATCTTGGGATATCAAAATTTCGAATTTATTGGTTTGCGGGTTACTCCATGTACAGGAACCAATAAAACCCCGCAGAACTATTAATGAATAGACAGTTGCGCATATTGTTAGATACTATACATCCAGATAATCTGAAACATAAAAGAACAGAAATACAAATTGACAACAATAAACAGATAGCAGGCAGAGAAACTACTGTGGGACAAAATGTAATGTTCAGAAATTATAGCAATCAGGGCCCTAAATGGTTACCAGGCAAAGTCTTGCAGAAAAGTGGGCCTTCCAATTACAAACTTGAAACAGAGGAAGGTGTAGCAGTTAATCGGCATATTGATCAGTTGATTAAATATAAACCAAGGCTAGAGAAAGGGGAAGAAGGGATTACTGATATAACGTCAGAGGCAAATAAAGACTCTAATAGCACATACAGAAGTGGTACGAATTACCAACATGAGCACCAGGAAAATAGTAGTCAAGAGTCAGAGACAATTATTGAAATACCAGATGCCGAGAAATGGGCTGAGATTTTGGGTATCCCTCCTTCTTCGGAATCAACATTGCCAATTCCAGGGAAAATTAGAACTAAGTTAAATGTACATTCCAGAACTCCATATCAAAGGCCACAAGATCATATAGACAATCTGTATTTATCCTAAATGTGTTTTATATATAAGTGATCATTGTTTCAGTTATACTATTGGTAGATATTGTTTATTCTTAATATTAATATGTTTAATTATGTTATACTTAATTACAAAGTGATTAAACTATCTTAGTGGGGAGGTATGTCATATATAGATGTGGGTACTTACTTTTATACTTTGTTGATTAATAAAGTGTATTAATGTAGGTAGGTACAATATCTTCTTTATATAAAGTGATACAAGCTACATAGCACGTTTTATTTAAAATACTATATCTTGAGGACATATTAAATACAAACAGACAAACTTTTCCTCTTTATAATATCAGTATGATATATATATAATGCAATACAATAATGTGGAATGCTATAACTACATACAAATTTGTAATAACATAACAGTTAACAATGATTATATTTTATTATTATATTTGAGATTAATAATATATATCAAGTCAGTGTATTTGTCACACAAGTTGAAGTAAGAAGGTATGAAGTAAAAAATGTATATAAGTGCTCTAAATGAAAGGGCCTTGAGGGGATCGCGCCGTGATATACAATTTGTAAAATTACATTTCTTTTCAAGTTCTTTCATTTCAACTTCAGACAAAAATGTGTAATAGGATGGCCTATTACCAAAATGGATTTGCTTATACCAGACAAAATAATCTCTTCTTTAAAGATAAAGTACTAACCTTCCTACTACATAAGAAGGTTTTCGAATTTAAAGACATGTAAGATTTTTGACGACCTCGGTGATCTAGCGGTTTAGCACACCGCTTTACTTCTGATGGTCGCGGGTTCAATTCCTCGCACAGTGCAAACATTTGTATTTATTAGTATGATTATTTGTCTTGGTCTGAGCGTTTTCTGTGTAGATTATGTATCTATTTACAAAAAAAATCAAAATATTACCGTTGTACTAGATGACGCTATGTATTAATATAGCGCCATCTAGTACAGAATTATCTGTAGTGGTATTTTCGTTAATTTTAATGTTTCATATTCAGAAAATTTATAAAAAAATGTTTTAAATTTTAATAGTATATGTTTATTATCTCTTGGACTTATTTGATGCCTAGTCTACGAGACTGTAAGAGTGAATAACAGTGATAACGTAATTTAAGTAATCTGTACGTATAATTTGTAAAAATCACGGGATCTTACCACGTTTTATATTTATTTGCTGAGTTCTCGATATCCCGATATTTAAGTAATCTATACATTTCAATATATGGAGAAAATTAAATATGAGGTACGAATACGACTATAATATAAAATAATATTATTATTATTATAAATTTTATGTAGTCCTATAACTCAGTTGAAACTCTATATGATCTCTAAAATAATATAAAACACATACTGAAAATTACCTACAATTTTAATATTTAGAAGTAATAAAGAAGTAATAAATATTAAATTCTAATACCATTAACTATATAGAAGAAAATTGCGAAGATTTACCTATAGGCTAGTGAGTTAGGTAGGTACAATATTAGTCATTATATTACTTGTTCTTATAATATATTATATATGGAGTATTAATACACATTTTTTTAACTGGTAGGCATCTATTATTTCTTCATTTATTACTCTTGGGAAAATGGATAATCTTTGTGCTCCCGGCCACTGCGAACGGAAAAAATATCAAATGAGTATACAGGGTATTTCTCTTTCGGATTGTATCAAAGGCACAAGTCGTAAACTGTGATTTGTAAATCCTTTTATAAAATGGATCAAGCAAAATAATGTATTAGAATAATAGAAATTACATTTTACATCTTTATAATATTATTAGTACGTACGAATATAAAAGTATGTTTAATGTTAGTTTAAGAAGAGGTATAAACTGAGCTTATTTATTAAATATATATATGATTATGAGGTGAACTAAATATATTTTATTAATAGTACAATTGAAATATAATACAATTGCATTACATTAGTCAAAGATTTTACCATAATATTGAAATATTTTATATATTTGTACCCGTTTTATAAACAAACGGGTTTGCATTGGACAGATTCCTTATAGTGCACGGGGCGTGTAACTTTCGTATGTCTACATTAGCCGGCTTGCACTTGTAAAATTTGGGCACATAGAGCAAAATCATAATAATGGGGTAAACATAAAGATTATTTTATCATTTCACTTAGGAACGCTATGTATTTTTTAAAAAGTCTGAACCAATAGTCACTCTATTCTCTAGGCCTTTCGTTTTACTTTTATTTTTATAACTGAAATATATACCAAAATTCAATAAACACATTATGTTTTTGCCTTTCGCGACAATTATTTCTAATTCATCCAAAAGGCTTCTCGAGACTACAATACATTTGCCGCAGCTTGTCGGTTCACACTATCAGTACATTAATTAAATTCTGGCATGGAGTTCTAAAACCATTAATGTGAAAATTTTATACATCATAAAATAATAAAAACTCTTAACTCAATGAAAGGGAAAATTAATATGTTTCAACTTACTGATCGTGTGGTATGACGCGGAAGTTCCGATCTAGTCTGCTAATCTCTTTTATATCATCATTGGTCAGTTTAAAATCCCATATATCGAAATTTTCAGCGAGACGTTTCTGGTTTGCAGATTTTGGTACAATCATTATACCACGATCAACAGCTATTCTGTAATTTAAATTGTGTATTTTCTAAATACCTACATATATGATTGCTGTTGTGCCTACGTCTGACAAACTATAATTACGAGTATTACAAGCTTTATGAAGAAATTATTTAATTGCAGTCTTCACTACTAAAGATCGTTTATTACTGATTTGGTACTTGTCATACTCGACGTACCTTCCGACAAGTATGATTCAGAGTGAACTAAATCTACTCCGGCCGGAGAGGACAAAGTTCGAAGCGTAAGGACCGAGTTCAAAGTGTAATTTATAAAATCATATCTATAGATCATTTAAAAAATTTGTTCAGCTAAAATATATAATCCTAGCTTTTACCCGCAGCTTCACTCGCCTTGAATGAAAAATATTTGTTTTCTTTAATAAAAAGTATCCTGTGTTCATTCTAATACCTCCAAGAACATGTGTACAAAATTTCATGATGATGGGTTCAGTAGTTTTGCGTAAAAGCGTAACAAACATCTCTACTTTCACATTTATAATATTATTAAGGATAAAAGGTTGAAGATTTAGAAATAAAAAAAATGGCTAAAAACATTAAAAGCAATGCAATCATACCTGATAAGAACCTGAGCGGGAGTTTTTCCATACTTTACAGCTATATTCTTTACAACAGGATCATCCAAAACATTAGGATCCTTGCTTTGCGCCCACGGACGCTGAGGGCTACCCAGTGGACTGTATGCTGTTAAGACTATATCCCTCATTTTACAAAAATCATATAATTTCTGTTGATATAAATAAGGATGTATTTCCACCTGTAAAAAATATAATACGGTTTAATTACACCTGTAGTTATACGGAAGGTATTGTTAATAATGCGAACTAGCGGATACTGTGCTAGTAATGTTCACCAGGTCAAACTCCCCTCGGTTTCCCTGAACACCATTATAGTTTTCTGGTGAATTCGCCACTGACCTTACCTCACGCTCATTCCATCATTCTCCATTGGTTCCCAGCTAACGTATACCGTTAGGGAAGGAGGATGGTGCATACCATACATTAAAAAATTATACTAAGAAGTATATACTAAATAATTATGAGTGAGTATATTATATAATATCAATATAAAAATATCAAATTAATTAATAGTAAGTATAATATTTCCTACCTGGTTTGTAACGGGTTTAATCTTGGCCACTTTCAAAACACGGTCGATTTGTTTTGGACTAAAGTTACTGACTCCAATACTCTTCACTAAACCTTTTTCTACTAATTTTTCCATTGATTTCCATGTATCGACGTAATCTACGTCGGAAAATATTGTTTTACCATTTTCATCAACAGGTGTTAAATCATAGCCTTCCTAAAAAACAATGAGCACGCGTAATATAATATTTTACACATGAATATTATTTGCCTTCTATTATATTCAGGGATTTATTTTGTTATTACCTTGTACGCCATTGGCCAATGTATGAGATATAAGTCGAGATATTCGAGTCCGAGATCGGACAAAGAAAGTTTCACTGCCGTCTCAACCCAATCCGGACTATGAAATGTATTCCATAGTTTGGAAGTTACAAAAAGGTTTTCCCTGTAGATAAAGCGAGAAACAAATATTTAGTAGCTCCCAAATCTCCAACTACCTGGGTTGTTTTGTTACATATTGCCCTATTAAGCATAAGCAAATAGGTATCTATGTTTATTAGAATGTGTGAAAACTTACGATGTTAGAAATTGTAACTATTATTTTCGTATTTCGTCGGTATTTTATAATGTACATGTAGGTATAGTAAGTTTTAGAAGGTATATTTTTTAAAAAACTTAAATAAAAAACATCCTAAAAGAAGCCTGTCCATTATGATGACTACCGTACCGACACAGTGACTACCGTTGTCTACCTATATAGAAATAAATAGCGCCTCAGACATAATCATAAGACTCGCATGGTAACCATGTACCCCGTAGCCTGCCTGCACTGCCATGCTGCTAACGACTTCGTACACCGTAGGTATTTAAGTTTTGTGATACGTAATCAACACGAAACCAAATAAATCGATAAGTATATTAAGTAGGTATATTTAATGACCCGGTTTTTTTTACATGTTGCTAGTGTTATATAATGATGTTAGGATAATATCTACCTACTTTATAAAAAGGTACAAAATGTACGTGTTATATTTTTTTTAAATATATAACTAATAAGATTTTATACTAATAAAATCTTATTAGTTATATATATGTACCTATTATGAGTAATATATTCTACCTACTATTCGTTACCTTTTCACGACGCCTTGACTAATCTTTTCCTTAATCGCTTGCCCTACCTCCTTCTCGTTTCCGTACAAATGTGCCCCATCAATATGCCGATAGCCTAAGTCAATAGCATCACAAACTGCTTGGTAGACCTTGTTTTCTTCGCCGCGTATTGCCTGAAAATAGAAGAAATTCAATTCTCTGAAGTAGTAGTGTCTGACAGAACTTTCGATTGATGCCAGTTTCACCGCAAAATTGTTCGTAAAGACTAAAACCAACAAACTCATATTCACTAGTCACACGGCTGTAGGATAGTGATTCACTGTTGTAGGTTGGGTTACAACCAAACTTTTTTGTAAATTCAAATGTTTCAAAAATTATGTATTATAAATTCCTTACCTGCCATGTTCCCAGTCCTAAAATAGGACAATTTAAGCCATTATTAAATTTTACCAAGTGTACTTTTTCCGACATTATTGATTACTAATAGTCACTGTAATGATTTATAAAAAATAGTGTTCATTGATGAATGTGCAATAACTAGGATACGATAATACCGTTGTCAATATCATGAAGATATTTTATCACTTCGTTATCAACAATCAAGGTTGGATTATAGGCATATCTATTAAAAACACTTATAACCTTTATAGGCCTTTCAAGTGGTCATAAATTCAATAGCATTTTTCCCCTTTCTGTAGTAAAACAGTAAAATATGTCGAAAATGCTGCTTATCGCTCTCTATTTTTAAAAAGGTACCAACCAAAAACTACCGCATAGAATTAATTGAAAATTTTCACACACAAGCCTTGCAATATGAGCTCTCAAAGCATATAAAATTATACGGCTGAAGTGTGAAGTTGATTGCAAAAATTAAATTAAATCCTCTGTCAGGAAAAAACGAAATTACTTTCCGAACAACCTAATATTTTTTATATATTAAGTAAAAGTACTAAATGATCGATAGTCACGTAGAGAGACGGATAGTTCGGTAGGTACTTACCTATTCTTCAGTGTACTCTCTAAAGAATTATCTACAATATTGCCGTCCTCGATGGTCTAGCGGTTTAGCACACTGCTTTACTTCCGATGGTCGCGGGTTCGATTCCTCGCACGGTATAAACATTTGTATTCATGAGTATGATGGTTTAATTGATCTGGGTGATTTCTATGAATATTGTATATTATATGTAAAAAATGTATCTAAATATTTATATCAGCTATCTAATACCCAGGACTAGATGGCGCTATGTGAATTGTTCAGGGATATTATATTATTGTCTACAATATAATAATAAAAACAAAAATAACCAAGTGTTAGATCACAAGTTGTGTGGTTGTTTAGTTTCATGATAGAATTGTATAAAACGAAACAACTTCCTCAAGGTGGGTAGTAGTAAATGTAGGTATTTAATTAAAATATACAATAACACCTATTTGTAAAATATACAAATTAGTAGGTATTTTTTATCTAAATGGAATTGTTAGGAATGGTTTATAAGGAGAGTAGCCCATTGCTATATTTATAGACGATAATTAAACATCAGATAAACATCTTAAATTTTTTTTAAGATTATTATACTTTTGTTAATTTAAATGTATTTACTGTGCAATAAATTGTTACCAACAAACAAAAAATCAAACTTATTATAAATTTAGTACTTCATTCATTTATAATTTAAGAGCTACGCTCTCTTGAAATTTAGTACTGACATGTTGTAATTTAAATATTTTAATGGGAGAAAATTGAGATTGTTACAGCATATACTGTAAATACTATAAATAGGAGGAGGAGGAGTAACATTAAACGGTCATGCTCGCTACAAAGTTCAAACTTAGGGCGGCATAGTGGGCCGGGCCAATGTGCTCCCTCTAACATGGTTGAATGCAATGATGGCTGGCTCATTCGTCATACTTGTCTGTTTGGGTTATGAACACTGTTTAGACTATGATTTTGCAATAGCATATACTGGAGGTCACTCTATTCTCCCAAATTTGAATTTTAAAATAAATCTGTAATATTCTAAACATACAGGTAAATTTATTTTTTTAAATAAACGAGCGGAGTTTCTTGTCAGTTCTTTTCATCTTGAAATCATTCCGAACTGACGGTAGATTTGATATCATAAGATTCTGTAATTCTTCTTCTTCTTCTTCTTCTTCTTTGTCGGTTCCTCAAGACTGAGGGTCGTGACCACCAGGAATGCTCCTTCCAACCAATACTCTCCAGGCATTTCTATCCTGTGCTAAATGGACCGCCGACTGTATATGTTTGACTGCTTCTCGTACAGGATCAGTCCAACGTGCAGGTGCCCTACCTCTGCCCCTTCTACCGTCCACGTGGCCCAACATTATATTTTTTTCAAAATTATCTGGTTTTCGGCGGGCTACGTGGCCGAAAAAAGTTAGCAGACGCTGGAAGCACACAGTAGAGAGACGGGTTCTGATATCCAGTTGTTCCAAAACAGATGCATTAGTGCGACGCTCCGTCCATGATATTCCTAACATTTTGCGCCAACACAGATTCTGTAATAGACCTACATAAATAAATATATGGTGGCGAATTCATCTGGCATTCTTAACTTTTTCCCATGCATAACCAAATTATGGGATCACCTTCCAGCAATGGTCGAACCACGATCGAATCGAAACAATATTGAAAGCTTCAGACAAAATAATACTTGTTTCTAAAAAGGCTGAAAATGCACTTGCAATTCCCCTGAAGTCCAGGTTGGTGTGCTCATATGCGGCGGTAATCACTTACCATCAGATGTGCTGCAACCTCTATGCTATAAAAAAAAATAGGTATGCTGGTGGACTACAGAATGTGAAAGTTGCTGATGGAAGTTTGAGAAAATATATTTTGAAATAAATACCTATTAGACATTAAGATGATTAATATTTTCTTAGTTTAAAAATTAATTAGATTTCACCCAAGAATAAATCTTATGATCATAATAAACTACTTAATTTGGGTGATTGGCATTATTATAAAGAGGCTTAATAGTTGAGATTAACACATAGATTAATACAAGTGCTATATTATATCTAGGACTGGTCTATCTTTTATATTTACATATTTAAAATTCTGCCATAGTCACCTATGCAAAGCTTCCATCAAATCACTAGTTATATTATAGATAACAATAATTTTAATATATTACTATTTATATTTGTATAAATAATGTATATAATATTTATATGCCAACCTTAAATAAAAGAAGAAGCAGATGATGCATATACAAATATTAACATAACAATTTTAGTTTACAATTTGTCAAATATATTACAGTTTAATTCATCAATTATCCATTTGAAAATGTAATAGAACTAAATAAAAGAATAATCCTAAAATAAAAGAACAATTGCAGAATAAATTATTTATCAATAAATTATCATACTACAGTACATTATCATAGGTGTTGCACCAGATATTACATACTTAATTTCCAACTGAAATATTATACAAAGCTTATGTACTTATATGCATATTAATCATTATCAATGAGATACACAGATTGCTTAAATAACAACTATGTAATAACTTACATATGTTAATGGAAATAATATTAAAAAAAGCTTAATAAAATTTGTTTTATGATCATTTTCTTGAAGGTTTTTGTAGTACAAATTACCGTTACACTGAAATAAAGCTACTAAAATAAACTACCTAACAACTACTAGCTACCTATTCTTTCAACAAAATTTTATCTGAAGACCCTTCCGCTAATAACTCTTGCTCTGTCGCTAATTTTGCTGCTTGTATTTGAGGTCGAACATATTTGAAGTATTTATAGAAATGGTCAGCAAGCATAACCGAGCCATAAATGGTTAATCCAATACATACTAATACACCTCCTTTGTGTAATCTGTCATACAACTGATTACGGGCATATTTCTTCATAATTTCTGAAAATATAAAATCTGAATTCAATAAATAACGAATATGATATTCGTAAAATCTCAAATGTACATATAATTTTATAAAATACAATTAACAATTATTATTAAAAATAATCAAAAGTGGTTAAATAGAGAGCAAATAAAATAAAATATTAATATCTAGAAGTACAATATAATTATTTATAAGGATATACCTAGATTTAATATGCGCACAGTATTTTAAATTAAAAATAGTCCCATGAATTTATTTATTTTGGTTTAACTAAGTATAAAATTATTTTGATTTTTAGGTTATATTTTTTTTTATTTAATCGGTTTCTGGCTTGGATACTTGTTCATTAGCCACTTTTATTTTTAAATTTCACTTTTTGAAAGTATATTAAATAACGACAAAATTCTTTATATAAAAAAACTGTACCCCTGCCGGTCTTCGATATATTAGAATTTTAAATGGTGACCTACGAACCACTTTTTGTTGGAGACTAGATTCTGTGTGCAGCATTTAACAGATACCATGTAGTTCTATTTTCTATCTAAACAAGACTTGAATCTTCTCCTGAGTTCCTTTTCGTTCCTACTTATTTACTCGTCTTCTTTGTTATCTACTGTAAGTGACATACAACAGAGACCCAGTGCCAAAAGAAAAAGACATTTTCACAGAGAGAATTCGTATATATATTTTTTTGTTTATAAATTGACAATGACAATTGGTTATTCAGTACTCTGTATTTTTATAGCACAGAACATTGAATTCAGTAAAATCAGTAAAGGATTAATATATTTTATTACTTTCGCTATTTGCATTCTAAACTATTGAATTAATTTCATTCTTAATTACGTTTTTTGCAATGAAATTTAAATTTCCTTCCCTGTTATCTTCATATAGTAAAATAAAATATATACAAACATTGTCTAGAAACTTTGGAGATAAAGTGCCAATAGGTCCTGTAAATTCTTTGGAAAAGTGCGAAAACAAAAAGGTAGTAATAGACCAAAACACACTCGGACTCTTGGAAAGACTTTCTTTGGTAAAATGCGATACAGCGGATGGAATTAAAGTATTAGAAGATTCTATTGCATTTGCTAATAAAATTCTTCACATAAACACAGATAATGTGCAACCTATGTACTCTGTTCTAGAAGAAGAGTAAGTTTTTTTCTTATAATGAAAACACTTTAGTGCTAAGATATGAACTTCTCTGTACTATGATATTTAAGGACTTTGTATATTAAAATTAAAGATATAAATCAGTTTTTGTAATAAATAACTGCACACTTTACATATTGGACAATATTTAAAATAAAGGTGAATACTTTGTTATTAACTTACTGAAGCATGACAATTTTAAATCCTGTTTCAGAAATCTTAATTTGCGGATAGATAAAGTTACCCAAGGAAACTGCCAAAAAGACATTTTGAAAAATGCATGTGTAACAGAGGATGATTATTTTGTTGCCCCACCAGGAAACATACCACTGCAAGACATCAAAGTTAAAGAGATAAAACAGGCTCAAAAAAATGAAAACTGAAATGCATAGAATTCTTAATATGCCTATGTTTTTTAAAGTTATACAATCAACAGAACATAATGTTAAATATATTTTTAAAAAACCTTGTATAATATTGATGTCAAATATTAGTCTGCATTGGCTTAAGTATATTAACACCAAAACACAGAAACACATGCCTGTATTTATAAATGAGAACTTAGTTCAAAACCAAAAGAATCAAACCTTACCATTTGGGATTCTTTCCCATAATCACATTAATTATAATACAGACACTTTAGTAGAACATAATTTGAATAGCTTTACTCTAAATACACAATCAGAATTTAATTTCAAATTAATAATACCACAAGAGAATGTGATGCAATATTTTACACAGTGGCAAAGATATAGAAAATTTTGGTGGAGTTCTGTAAGTATAAAACAAATTTACATACCTATATATTTTTGTATTTTATAGTTTTTTTCCATAACAGTAACAGTACTAAGTCCTAAAGGGAGTCAAAATGTAATTATGAAATGATCTTGGTAACCTTACAAATATACTCAAATGTGAGGAAATGAAAATGTCTCTGACAGTGAAATTACACCATTATAATTTGTGTAGAAACATTGAATTGCTCTAACATAAACTGATAAATTTAGTATTTGAGTAATGTTTTATATTGATAGACTGAAACCAATACTATATTATTAATTATATAACAATTTATGATCTTAAAAGTCAGTAGAATAGCCTTTAAATACTCCTTGCATCTTTCTAAAATAGATGTAAGTAAAAAAACTAATAACAAATAACAATAATGTTACAGATTACAACAACACCCAGTTTATTTTCTGTAAGTGATATCAAGTTTGGAGAAAATACAGCAGACGTGGAAGTCTTAGCTCAATTTACACCGGGCAATACAATTGTAGAAACTATCAAGATATATCCAAATACTAGTGTAATCCTTTTCTTTTGTCATTTACTACTTTCCTGTGTTATCTGTTTCCAATGACACATATGAGTAATAGTTAGAATAGCTCGTAAGCTAGTTTTAGCTCTAATTTATCTATCAACATCAGATAAATATACAAAGGGGCACAATATTCTTCCTAAAAAGTTCTAAAATCAATACATCCTAACAGTACAAATTTAGTTTATATAAAAGTAGATGATGTCTACAACTAACGTTTATTTATTATATTTTACTATATTTCATCACATTTCAGATACCAAATTCATGTTGTCTCAGTTGCACATTATATTTAGAAAAAGCTCTATTTATTTTATTATTAGATGGATTAAGTGGACAGAATAAAACAAACTATTTAAAGCTACACAAAAACATGGCGCCTTATAAAATTTCATTTGCTATTAATTGTAAAGGTATAGTTTATTATAATTATAAGTACATGTTACAACTGCAAAATTACATACAGTGGACCCCCGGTTATCCGACAAACGTTTTGTAGGGCAGTGTCGGACCATCGAATTTGTCGGATTATAGTGCTGCCTAAGGGTCCCGGATATATATAGTCCGGAATTTTTTACAAAAGAGTATCTTATAATCCGACAAATTACAGATCCTGTGATAAGATTCTATGTTATATATGTATGTATGTATATGCACTTTGAAATATAAATCATACTTCATTATGTATGTCAACTACTAAAAGATTAGTTTCGATTTAGGCGGTCTAAAATATCATTTTCTTTAATTGTCAGTGTTTTGTGTTTTCGCTTCTACTAATATGTATACATGTGAATAAACAGTAAACAATGAACACATGCTATACTGCACTGCTATCTCCATCACATGTACTTACATGTGATGGACTACTTAGTCAAATTCAAACTAAGCAATCATAATCAAAGCAATACCCTACGCGTCGAGTACAACCGTGGTGATTTACAAGTTTAAACTTGTTCAATCATGTATTAGCGAAGATTGTCAAAAAAATATTCAATAATAAATCACAGACCATTTCGGATTACAAGGGGGCCTGGATTAGCGCGGATCCACTGTACTTATTATATTTGATATTTATTTTGTCATACAATTGCAGATACCGAACATAAACAAACGCTACAAGAACTATCAGAACTACTCAATTTTAGACTACAAAAGAAAAAAATATCTACTTGGATACCAAATTTTTCACTGTCAACAGAATCACAAGTATGACTAATATATTTATTTCTTTTTATAGTCCGATTCTTATTGCAGTGCAGTAAATTTGACCGAACTTTTTTTCAAATTAACATTTCTATTATTCTTATAGTGACTTATGGCTAACTTCAGTTCAGGTCACTTATTGATATGATATCATATATCACATATCATTATCATATATCATATATCACTTATTGATAGTTGTGAGTTGGACTGAATTTCTGTAAAATGTAAGTTTCAATCAGTCTCACCATTATATTTTGCCCATATCGTATTATTAATATTATAAACGCGAAAGTTTGTGAGTATGGATGGATGTTTGTTAGCTTAGTGATAGCAACGCCTATTGTACAAGTCTATTTAAAGGTAATACTTTTCAGTAAAATCACAGTGCAATAAAGTTTATAAATAAAGATACATATTTTTTGTTATATTCGATGTACAAGCTTGTTGAAACTTTATTTGTTTTACAGATACAGGAAAACTTACAGATGGGTGTAGTTTATACAGCTATCCTAAACGATAACACTCTAAAAAATGGAATATTTCGCTTAATGAACAGCAGTACTATGTTACAGGTAAGTAGTCATTCGATAACATTCTTATTATTTGAATTACTTTCATCTTGGATGTTTAATTCAATCTTTTTTTGTTATTTCAGGAACAAATTCATGTTGCCGATTTTGATTCATATGCATCATTGTTGTGTAAATAGAAGATGAATAAAGAAAATTAAGCCATAGTGAACATCACAATTTTTATTTTTTTCCTCTATAATAAAACTATATAAGTATGGTGCCCTACCAACATTCTCTAAGTACGGCGATGTTTTAATTAATGGATAAATATGGAATCATGTACTCGACTGCGCTACACACAATCAATAAGACAATATCCAAACGTTTCACGAAAAAAATAACTTTTAATAAAAACCTAAAAATACAAGTCAATCGCGAAATATATAAAAAAATACAAAGATATACATACATATATATATATATAACCACATTCAACAACTGCGTCGCGGAGTCTAGCAAAAACAGGAGAAATTTCTAATAACTTAGTAACTTATATCGCAGATTTTACCATAGTGCCCATCTACGTTAAAATCCGCAATAAGTTGCTGGTAAGTAATAATAAGTTGTTACTAAGTGAATTCAATTTGTGTTGACGATAATTACACCCATCATAACTTATGATGATAAGGTTCTATATTATAGATTTAAAAATGATACACTTCTCAAATTTATTTATTCAGGAATACTTATTGCAAGATATTTATTACATACAGTTCTTACAAATATCGTTCCATCTCTATTTTAATGAAAAAAAAACATTGCTTTTGTTATAATTTGACACTTGTACAATAATAGTTCATGAATACAAATAATATTAACGATAGCAATATCAAAATTAGAGACAATAATTGTTGAAGACTTGTACAATCCTCGCATACAATGTAATCAGTAAATTCAGTTAACCTGCGCCAACACTGTTCTACATAAGAGCAGGATTGACGATACTATGTAAGGAATTTTTACATAGTAGGAAAATATTATAAAATGACTTACCAAAGGGCGATACCTACACATCTGTGATAGCTTTCATTGGCTTACATTACAAATTAGAACGTATTTCTTATATGACAATATTATTTACTGTTGTGTGACAATGTATGGAAGGAATGTTAAGTAGAAGACATCCCATACATTGTATGATAAATGCTGTAGAAGCATACCAATTACCACACAAATGCATTCTCATAAAATAGATAATACTAATTTACGTGTAAACTTATATTTTATTATAAAGAAAACAAAACAATAAAATTTTCTTATTTCAACATTTCAGTTTATGTGGACGTTAAATTATAATATAAAATATTAAAGTTAATAAATGAATGGTTATATAAAAGTAGGGCTGCCATACGTTATTGCTTTTGATATCATAATAATGATTCATATAACTTAAGGAGATAACAGTATATTAGTCAATAATTCGGCTATCAAAGCAAAATAAACTAGAAATGTATGTCTAATAATAATAGACATGTTAAGTTAATGTATTTTTGAAAATCTATGACAAACTTAGTACTAGTTTAAAAATTTATCTTATCGGAAATACGAAAAAATATATTAACTTTAGGGAAAACATATCACTAGTCTCTAGTACTAGACTTCTAATGTAGATATAACATATTTTCCCATATGAAGAATAGATCAAAGGCTATTTATAAACAGATATCATTTGGATGTATTTATCTAATATTTATTTAATCATTGGTTTGTCGTTATTAATATTGTGCTATAAACTAATATAGTACATGGTTAGGTTACATTAATAATTCATCATCACACATAACTGCGTTTAGTAATCAACATTTTCACAAGTGTACACAGACATTTTATGTACAACTAGATCTTAGGTTATTTATTTGCTAATTATAAAACACCTTCACAGATATTTTTGTCAAATTGTTTTTTTTCTTCTTCAAATCACCTGCCATCCCAACACTGGATAGAACTTAAGCTGGCAGCTGCAACTTCTTTCCTTTGAGAACTAGAAAAAAAAATACTTTATTGCTTAAAAATACTTAAAAATACTTTATGGCTTATTCATAACAATACAAAACATACAATTTTTGTTTATTCTACAAGAAATTACAGAAATATTATTTTCCTATATCATCATCTGCTTCTTCCTTATCCCCATTTATTTGGAGTAGCATAATATGTTTATCTCTGTTCGCAGTCATCTCGTTATTTAATCCCTTTCTTACTATATCATCTTTCACACAGTCCATCCATCTCTTTTTCGGTCTTCCTCTGCCCTTATAACCATCCACATTAACCTTAAGTATGAACATCATTCCTATGCATTACATGCCCGTCCACAACAAACGTTTTTTAACCTCTCTGACCCCGGCGCCACTTTCCTACTTCCTCTAATTTTTCCATTCATTATCTTATCCATCATTATTTTTTTCCTCTATATGTATATGTTAAGTATTGTATACTTACAAAAAAAATACAACTATGGATTTTAATGTAATTTTACCTATTATATATAGATGTATGTTAACAAACTTACCTTTTGTAATGTAGAGATAGAAGAAATCACAGTATAGTACAGTCTGCACAATTCCAGCTATAATGGCAATCAACTCATAATGTCCCTCAAAGACATAGCGGTATACCTGTAAATGTAAAGTATAATATTAAAAAAAAAATAAGTTGTCCGCCTAAAAACATTTTAGTTTATGAATGGTATTCTACCTAATATACTTATAAGATATATATATAGTATGAGTAATTAATATTCTTATAAGATATAAGTAGGTACTGTGAAATGTTAAGAAGTTCTTTCAGAATATTAAGATGTTCCACCATCATCAGTATAATTTTAAACTGCACCATGTGATGACAACATTAGATCTATTATGTGTACCACCTTTAGTAAAGGTGTATAGTATTTAAAATTTTATTTAATGTCAAATAGGACTAACTTGCATGTCTATGTAATAAGAAAATCATAAAAATCATAATATCTAGTAATAAAATTAATTAAAAATTCAGTGTGTTAACTGACAACACTCCTATTTCTTTTATCTTTCTGTCAAATGGAAATTGTACCAAAAGATATGTATGAAAAATCAGCATAATTAAGTTTGATTGTGATAAATAGTTCTCATAGTACTTTGCAAAAAATTATGTGTGAATGTATATTAAAAAAACATACTTATGTAGACAGGTATAGCATGTTAACTGTAGAACATCCTGCATTTTGACATCAAGTAAAAATAAAAACAGACCACATAATGCAAATATTCAACTACAAAGTTTTATTCATCATTCTATTCTTATTGATTTGTAATAACTACAAAGTATCTAAATTTAGGTAATATAACATGACTGGCACTATAATAACAGTGCAAAAAACTTATCTTTGAATTTATATCTTTATAATTGTATCATAATGCTAAGTAGTAACTGAGCTAAGAAGTAATATTTCTAGAGTTAAGGCATGGCATGGCAAATAACAATATGTTAAAGTATACATACATTTAAACATTTCAAAATATAGTATAGATTTTAAAACTTGTTTAAATAAATAATGAAAAGATTGCTGTTCTGTTACAAGATATAATGCATTGTATTTAGGACTACCTTACCTACTACTTATGCTAAGTTACAATTCAGGTAACAAAAAGGTGATACATGAATATCTCAATTGAAAATTCTTTAGAGTTAATGCCTATGCCTTAAAAATGAATGGCAATGTGATTTTTGTATTTGGAATTGTTGAGATGCAATCAGGCAATAAAGTTATGGATAATATAGATTTTTGTGTTTTTCATCTACAGTCAGCCCTTCCAGCAGATATAATAAAATTCTGTGGTGTTAGGGACTGTTAAGAGATAAGGCACATCCTGTGAGGTGCCATCTCATTTATTAATTAAAGAAACAGAAATGTGTACAAAAAATATTTACTGTTGTTAACTCACCCAATTGAATAAATAAAGTGTTCTATACATGCCCAGAGCAAACAAGTAATGGGATGTGATGCTTTCTGCCTCTCCTGTCTTGGACACTAAGAACAGTTGAGGTAAGATGGCCACTGCTTCAAGGTAAATAGAAAATGTCCATAATACCTGTGATTTAAAATATTTACAATGGCAAAAATAAAATTTCCACAGCATTACACTTAATTCAGCGAATTTGTTTCTTGCAGTTAGTTCTGATGGTTGCGAGTTCAATTCCTTACAAACATTTATATTTATTATTTAAAAAAAATCTAAGTATTTGTATCAGTTCTCTAGTACCCATAACACAAGCTCTGCTTATCGTGGGACTGTGTGACTTCTTAATGTTTATTTGTTTATTATTACAATATATCTAATAAAACTGTCAATAATTTACTAATCAGTAAAGATACAGAAAAATGAACATTATGTGTGAAATAAACCAACAATGATGATAAGAGTAAATACAATCTAATATATGTCATGTATTTCAATTACACATCAATTAGCTTTCATCAAGTCAGCATGCTGTAACTAAATCAAATATAATACTTATGTTAACATGTTGATTGACAATGATTACTGAAGTGATTGAATGACAATATTTTTTTACTAAACTTAATTATTTGGGTCGCAATAATAATAATGTTGACATATTAGGGACTAGATCAATCAAACTAACCTCCATAACTGTGAACTCGTGATGTATAAGTAATGCCAGAATAAGCGATGGTATCAACAGGAATTCAATCCTGAAGGTATCGTGATTGTGGTCATATGTTGCTTTGAACTTAACATACATCAAATAAACAGTTGCGTAGGAAGCAACAATGAAGACCACCTTCATTACTGTGTTATAAGGTGAAATGAATGTCGTCAATAAATCCACATATCTCGTGGTATACACTACGGAGAAAAGTATCTGAGATTTCCCAGAAATGCCTGAAAACAATTAAACATAATGTTACACTTCCAAAAGTAAAATATATCCTCATGCCGGCAAGACGAACTATGTAAGCAGCTAAATCACCTGCACATGATCTTGTTTTCCAGATTTTAAGCAATAATATTATTACAGCTAATAGGTGAGATAAATCACCACATAAACGAAATATATTCATGATTTATTATTTAAAGAGATTTTAGTCTGCGTACACTTTTTCATTCAAAGCAAAAATGACGTGGCTGTACACAGTCAACAAGAATACAATGACAGATCAACATTTTTCAGTTTTGCGTTTTCGTCTATGGTGATTGGTTTTCTATGGTATTTGTGTACATAGACGTAGAGAATTCTAACTGGATGAGACAATATTTATAACGAGTACGTGTTATGGTGCGGGTGACAATTCGATTAACGTTTCGTTTCACTCTTAAAAGTTGCCGCGATTTACACATTTTGACTTAGTATTTCAGCTGTACCACATTCATATATATATATATATATATATATATATATATATATACATATATATACCGTGTAACACATGATAAACCTTCTAACTGATTTGACTTATCTGCACCTTCCAAGGATGATACCTCGGGAGAAACCCCATTAGCCCGGCTTATTTTTCGGGTTAATCAACACTAGCTTAAGTATGTTAATTCTTTGGATCCCTTAACGTCGGTTGATATAACAATAATTTATATTTATATATTGTCATCTAAGTCATATCAGAATATGTTAGCTTATTTCTGTAGATTTTTATATTTGTAATTTATCCTATTCCTCACCTTTTACTACCAATGAACCCTTTTGATCTATACCAAATTCCGTATCCTAAATTTATTTAATTCGTAAACAAGTTACTTATTTTGTCTTTGGCAAATGCACCAACGTGCCAAGCCACAAAATGAAAAAAAAACTATACCAGCTTTACAGGAAGTTGCTCTGCAATACTCTGCATAGTCTGCATTGCTTTACATACTCTGTTTACCGTGATTACCTTGTCCGTGTGTCTTATAGGTTATCTAATCCAACATGATTTGTAATACAAATATAATATAATTCTGAAAATCGTCGATTATATTTGTTACGTTGTTTTCTAAATAGACACTGATAGAGTGTACTATATAGCATAGTAAGACACTATTATTCTGTATTTATCGCATAATCATTAAGCATTTTACGAATTACCAATTTATTTTGTGGTTCACCATGGTTCGTCATAATAATCAGTTACCTAACAATTTAACACAGTTACAAAATTTAATAAAAAGGGATCCTGATTCCTACAAAGAAGAATTTCACCAGCAAGTTGCCCATTTTGATACAACGTTAGAAATTTTTAACTTAAATCCCACTCAATACAGTAAGAAATTGGAAGAACAAGCTATGTTTTTAGCTCAAGTATCACAGTGTTACTTGAACGAAATGAAATTGTTTCCACAAAAAATTGTAGACATTTTGAAAACGCACAATACAGTAATGCATAATGATATCAGACTATCATTGTGTAAATGTTTAATTTTATTAAGGAACAAAAACTTTATTACACCATTTGATTTATTGGAATTATTTTTCCAACTGTTAAAGTGTCAAGATAAATTTTTAAGGGACTTCCTGAAAACACACATAATTACTGATATTAAAAATATTAATATGAAAAACAAAGATATGAAATTTAATTCAACATTACAAAATTTCATTTTTTCCATGCTGCAAGCCTCAGATGCGAAAGCAGCTAAACTTTCTCTAGATATTTTGGTAGAACTTTATCAGAAAAATATTTGGAATGATCATAAAACAGTTAATATAATTGCAGACATTGGATGTTTCTCCAAAGTGACTAAAGTAATGGTCGCATCATTAAAGTTTTTTTTGGGTAAAGATGAAGAAGAAAAACAGGATTCTGACAGTGATGATGAGATAGACCCAAGGGATACAATGATATCTAATAAATTTAATAAAAAAACTCGCAAAAGGGAGAAGATGGTAGAGAAAGTAAAAAAGGTAGCAAAGAAAATGAAAAAGAAAAAGCAAAAGGCTCCTTCATTCAACTTTTCAGCACTTCACCTTATAAATAACCCACAAGGATTTTCTGAAAAGTTGTTTAAACAATTGGAATCTTCAAATGAGAGGTTTGAAGTTAAATTAATGATGTTAGATGTTGTGTCTAGGTTGATTGGATTACACAACCTGTTTTTATTTAACTATTATCCATTTATTGCTCGTTTACTCATGCCGCATCAAAGGGAGGTGACTCGTATTTTACAATTTGCTGCTCAAGCTTCACATGAACTGCTACCACCAGATGTAATTGAACCAGTTATGAAAGCAATTGCGAATAACTTCATTACTGAAAGAAATTCAACTGATGTTATGGCTGTAGGCTTGAATGCAGTACGAGAGATTTGTTCCCGTTGCCCTCTTGCTATAGATGAAGATTTACTGAGAGATTTAGTTCAATACAAGAGTTACAAAGAAAAATCAGTAATGATGGCTGCAAGATCTCTAATACAACTGTACAGGCAGTCAATGCCCAACCTTCTACATAAGAAAGATAGAGGTAGACCAACAGAGGCATCTTTAGAGGTGAAATCTAAAAAATATGGTGAAATGAAAATTGAAAGTCACATACCAGGTTCTGAAATATTACTTGAGAAGAAATCATTAGTCAAAGAAGATAAGAAGAAAAATACTAAGAAACAAAATAAAGGTGTTGATTCAGATAGTGAGGATTGGATTGATGTTGCTTCATCAGATTCTGAAATAGAAATACCCACTGACAGTGAAGATAGTGTTGATGAAGAAGAAGAAAGTAATAATGAGCAGGATAATGATGAGGAAGAATGCAATGAGGAGCAAGATAGTACCAATGTTGAAGATAGTCAATCTTCACCTTTGAAACCCAGAAAAATACTAAAAGCGAAACAGGCCAAAACTCAAGAAAAAGAGGAAAAAACAAAGCAAGCTCGTGAAATAGCAATGGAAACAATATTTACTGATGAAGATTTCAAGCGTATTGAAGCAGCTCAAGTAAAAAAACAGGTTAAGGGTATCAAACGAAAGAGTGGTATTGAAGAAGAAACTGATGAAAATGGAGAACTTGTACAACTGTCAGCAATAGAAAATATTCATAAAAAGAGGAAACATGATAAAAATGCTAGACTTGAAACTGTTATGAAAGGAAGAGAAGAAAGAGATAAGTATGGTTATAAAGATCGTAGAAAAAACATTAATTGCTCAAAAACAAATAGAGAAAAAAGAAAAACCAAGAACTTCCAAATGGTTAGACATAAAGCTAAAGGCAAAACCAAAAGGTCATTCAAAGACAAACAAATTGCATTTCGAAATTACTTAATTAAACAAAAGAAAATGCGATAACCTTGTAGTAGATATATTACAGAATTTGTAACAAAACTATATAATATGCAACTGTTGCAGTTGTTTTGTATTAATATTATATATTTAATATTTCTGAAGCAATGTTTTATTTCTCTTTTGCTTTGAATTTGTGTTCTAATTTATTCCAAATAAAAATATACAAGGATATTATGGTATTTGGATGTCGGCATTACAACGTTTAGTAGATATGGTATATATTACATATCCTCTGATCCTATCTGGATGGTTGATACCATACCTTATATAAAATCGATTGGTACCACATATAAAATCTACATTTTTGTCTGTAAAATTCAAACACATTTAAACCATTAATCTATACATATAAATAAAATTGCAGTGTCTGTAATATTGAAATAACCGTTTTTTACTACATGCATATGAATATAAATATGATACATACACACAATTTTTGTCTGTCTGTCTGTTTGTTCCGGTTAATCTCTGAAATTAGTGGACCGATTTTGACGGCACTTTTTTTGGCAGGTACCTGATGTAATAAGGAGTAACTTAGGCTACTTTAAATTCAGAAAAATTAAGTTAAATATCATGCGGACGAAGTCGCAGGAACAGCTAGTCTAAAATAATAATCTGATTTACCATTCCATAAATTAATATAATAATGTATTTCATTATATCTTAATAGAAATGGCATGATGTATATTCTATACTATTATTTCCCCTCCGATAAATCCCCCGTCCAATTCAAACAGGGATCAAAATTACGACGGCCTGAGCTGAGGTTCGAACACCTAGTGGTGCCCTCAGACTAAAGTCGTATCTGTCAGGCAGGAGTTGGCCTTCAGCCGCTCCATAAGTCCTTCCGCGGGTTTGGAGTGCTATCTGCACTCGCCCCTAACGTCCGGTGAAACTGTAAAGGCCAGATACAACCAACAACATTAGAGTAGTCCGAAAAAAAAAACTTATTAATAAATCTTTAGCCTTGTTATTGGTGTAGTGAACTACATCAATAATAAGGCTAAAGATTTCTTAAATGAAACACTAGAATACTTCAAATATATATGCAGGTATGGCTTAGTGTTTTAGTGAAATTGTTGACATTATTCAAAATGCATTTTTAAACAGGTCTATTTGATTTCTAGACTATATCACTAACCATAATGTAGATGGAATAATCTGCTACTACATAAGAATTACTAGTTTTCAGTTATAACACTTAAAAATTATTTTATGTTACAAATTAATTAAAATGAAATATACTTTATTCCGAATCAACAATTTATTCCCAATAAATTATTAGAATTTCAGACCATGGCTATATATTATTTTAAAGTTTTCAACTGAGGTTTCCAATAATAATGTACATTAATCATGAACTTGCAACCTGCTTGAGAGGTCCTTCTAAATATTGTGCTAAGGCATTAATCTTCTCTTTTAATATACCAAAGCCAACTGTTTCTTTAGCATATAAACATAATAGTAAACTGGCCACTTGTGTTATAGCTATTTTGCCATTTAAACAGTCTACAAATATAAAATGCAATTTGTCTTCTTTGAATACATTGCATCCCTGTTTTTCATAAGCTGACCACACATTACTTGCGATCGCAGCAGTAACTCTTGCGTCTTTGTCATTATAGCCTGAATAAGCTAGTAGTGCACCTTGATGATTAAGTAACCTAAAATGTAAATATTTAGCATCAATAAATGCATATAAATTTGACAACACTATTAAAATATAAATTAATTGAAGATTAAATACAGTGTATTTTCTACGCCTCCAGTATTCGCTTGACTTAAAACTTGAGTCAAAGCTTTAGGCTTCAACATAGTGTTTAATACTAAGAACTTTGCAATTTATTAAGATATATATAGTCGCCTTTGTGATTGATGTACTAATTATTTTATATTTTTATTTCGTAGAATGTATGTTTTTTATACTTTATACTTTATTTTCCACACAAACTTTACTTTATTTCTAATCACTACCTATTCTGGAAACTTTAATCCAGGAATAATAATTTAATATATATAATATCAGAACAAGCAAAGAACATTTGACAGAAATAAATAAAGTTTTTTTTTTGTTCTGTTTATGCTCATGATAGACAGAAGGATCTATATCATACAGCCATGTTGAGTGTCAAGAAAAGATATTTTTTGGTCCGGTTTTTCTTTTGACAATAATAATAATTAGAGTCCGACTGAAACTAATTTTCCGGGCGCAACCGAAACCGAATATTCGACCGAGGCTTCAGTTTCTGCCTAAACCGAATCTCACATGATCAAGTATAAAATTCCTTAAAATACTGAAATTTCGTGCATTTTACCCATTATTCGTCATTAATAAGGACGTGAAATGGAAACGGAGTAGGTATATTAAGTTTGTTGTAATCATTCATTTAATGTAGTATATAAAAAAAAACATTAATGTTATTTTTATTTTTTTTTCACATCTTCCACCGAAGTATGAGGCAGCATGTCCACAATTATGAGATCCATTATAGTTTTATCAATCCTTTTTGTAATTTCATGGCGTAAGCGAGCGTGCACGACAACTTCGAAAATCAGTTTCGAAATCGGCAAAAGTTTCGGCCAGTTTTAGCCAGAACCGAAATTTTGGTCGGACGCTAATAATAATTATATTTATTTTTTAATAATTTCACGGCTTCGAAAAACTACATATCTCATTTGTAAAATTAAAAATACGTGATCCCAATGCCGGGTTAAATAAGATAAAAAAAGTCATATGTATATAAAATTTAATTTATTTCCGTCCAATAGTTTTTGCGCCAAGTAAAGAACGTTCAGACAAACAAACTTTTGTACTTATTATATTAATGGAATGGGATTACTAGAACATCCATTGTTATTTATTAATCTGGATTCTAGTAGACATACTCTCTGTGATCTGTGTTAATTGTTTTGTTTTCTTGTATTCTGCTACGTGCTATGCTAGACTAAATTGTATTATCTTTTGTATTCTTATTTTGACGTGCAATAGTTTTGTAATAAACCATTACCATTAGCATTCTTTTAAAATGAATTTATCAGACGATAACAATTTTGGAAATGGACTTTTATATGTAGGATTTAACCAAGATCAAGGTAAATAAAGATAGGCGCATTTAACTATAGTTTTTCCCACAGATATTTTATTTCTTCTTTCTAATTGTTTAGGTTGTTTCGCTTGCGGAACGGAGAATGGATTTCGTGTATTCAACAGTGACCCACTAAAAGAAAAAGAACGCCAGAATTTCTCCGATGGTGGACTATCTTACGTGGAAATGTTGTTTAGATGCAATTATATGGCTTTAGTCGGTGGTGGTGCGACACCAGTTTACCCGCCTAACAGGGTGATAATATGGGATGATTTGAAAAAAGATTCAGCTATATCACTAGACTTTAACAATCCTGTTAAAGCTGTGAAATTGAGAAGAGATCGCATTGTTGTTGTTTTAGGTATTTATATTACTAATCTTTGTTATATCTCATCATGGAAAAATATCTGTTACATTTTTTATCAACTAATATTTTGAATTTTATTTATAGCAAATTTGAGGGTAGTCAAAACAAATTATATGTATTAATTACTGAATTCAATTTAACTGAACAAAGTACCAATTAATTTTATAATTTGTTACAAATTTGGTAGATACATATCTTTATCCTGTCCATTATAAAAATGGATACACATATGATATCCATTTTTATATATACCTCACAATATATACCTCCATGTGATATGACATGGAAACATGATGTGGATGTAGTGTGAATTGTAATTTTTTTATCAGATCGATGGTATCTATGTATGCTTTTGTCCTTTAAATATTTCGATAATAAATCTATGCAAAATACAATCTAAACTGAGATAAGAATATTGGTATGATATAATAATTTAGTGCTGATCTTGATAACTTCAATATATATAAACATTATTATTATTATTATTCTTTAAATATGATATTATTTTCTTAATATTTAGGATTATTAAAACAACCTAAATACCTATTGTTCAAATTAGAATAATGACTGATACTTCTTATTATGTATCTCGGCACTATTATAACTTTATGTGGCATTTTAGTTTTTAACCCTTTTGCTTAGAATCCTATACAGATATGAAATATGAATAAGACATGACAAATTGAATTGATTTTTAGGCATATTTTATTGAATAAGCATAGCATAGAAGCAACATATTAGTGTATTATATTAAATTACCACTTTCTAAGATATAGGATACTGGCAATCTGTTTGCTAACAATGTAGTGACAAAAAAACAGTACAACACATATTTCTTGGTATTTTAATGTTATTGGAATGTTAAACAAGCCAACTGGTAATTGGTAAACATCACATATACTCACACACTACAGTATGTATATACCATTAACATATGATGGACATGATACCATTATTATGCATAGTCATTCCAGAAGACAAAATGTCATGCCTCTTATAATTTGATTGTCTTTTACTGTCTCAACCTTAACTGAAACAAATCTACTGCTTGTTGGCTCAAATACGTGAGACTGGAACACATAGGTGATTTTTTGGTTGCTGAGTCAATCACTTTATTTACATTTTCTAGAATACTACTAACTAATTTTATATGTGATATGTTATTTTTAGAAAATCTCATTAAGGTGTACACATTTACGGCACAGCCGCAATTACTGCATGTGTTTGAGACATGCCTTAACCCTCGTGGATTATGTGTAGTCTGCCCAAACAGTAACAATGCATTACTTGCTTATCCGAGCCGCAAATGTGGACATGTGCAGGTAAAGTTTTTTTAATTATAATTCTATTAATTTTATTATTAAATATGACTGGAAATTAATCCAACTTTTTAACCCACAAACTTACTATTTTTATGTTTATGACTTGTCAAGGAAAATAAGTTGATAGATCATCTAATAATAAGAATAAGATATGGATGGTTATAAACCATATCATAGATATTACAGTATAAGGAGACACCCATGACACCTGTTTTGCCAAAAGGTATATTTGTCATACCCAGTAACTTCACTGTCAATCTTATAAAATCAATATTTAGCTTATGTCATGCTAAATATTGATTTTATAAGATAAAGTATAGGTAGTACTAATGCAGATGACTCAATACGAAATTTCCTTTTGGTAACAATCAGTTTTAAGATGCATTGTTTAATTTTACAGTTAGTAGAATTGAGCACTCAAACAGGCACAAGCGCTACTCCAGATGGGCACCTTATAAGTGCACATGAAGCACCATTAAGTTGTTTGGCCTTAAACGTTGGCGGGACGAGGTTGGCTACAGCTTCTACAAAGGGCACACTTATTAGAGTGTTTGACACAGCCACTGGTCAAAAATTAGCTGAACTCAGGCGAGGTGCTAACCAAGTGAGTGATTTATATTATTATGAATTTTACAAATCATAAATGTTAATGAAGTATATTCCAATTATTGAAGACATGAAAATATCCAGTAACAACTTTAACTACAATTAATAATAAGAAATGATAAAGAATAGAAATACAAACAAATAGTAATTACGATAGAACAAGCCTAATCTCAAAGTGTCAATTGTGTCAATTGTGTGTGTGGTGTCACCGTAAGCATTAAATAGCATTGTATTGTATTGTATGTTGGACTCCAGTCTCCGCAATTAGCCTCTCATTCGGGCCGTTGTGCGTGCAGAGCCAGACTACTAAAGTAGCCAGCCAAGCTCCTCCCAAAAGCGCAGAAGACTCCTGGTGTCTTCACAGGCTTCACGGAGCGACCTCACCGTTCCGAGGATTTGTTTTCGTTGTTGGGCCACTGCCGTGCACTCCAGGTTTACGTGAGCCGCCGTTTCTTCAGCTTTAAAGCAGCCCCGACAAAGGGGACTATCTGTAGCATCAATTTTGTATAAGTGTTTGTTTAAGGAACAATGGCCCGTTATTGTCCCTATCATTATTTTAAGGTTATGCCTATTTAGATTAAGTAGGCGTGTTGTTAATCGATGGTTCGTTTTTGGAATTGCCACTTTAGATTGTTTGCAATCAGTGGTTAGGTTCCATCTTTGGTTTTGTATTTCGGTGGATCTCTGGGGAATCCAGGTGCGAAGTTGCGAGAAGGGTATTGGCATAAGCGGGAGGGGGCCTGCAACCACCATGCCAGATCCTATTCTCGCTAGTTCGTGTGCGGCGTCATTGCCATATGATCCGTAAGAATAGCACGATATTCCCCAAATGGATTTACACCCAAGGCCCCGGCCCACAGTCTCCGGCGGCCCCGCTAGTTTTGACCATGGTAGCGGTCATGGAAACGGCGGGGCAGGGGGTGCGACGAATCTCCGGGTAAGATCAGGCTACCACAAACGACGACCACTGGCTCTGGCAACATACAACGTTCAAACACTGCGGACCGACGAAAAGTTAACTGAACTGGAGGAAAAGTTGAGCAGATTGCACTGGCACGTGGGATTATCTGAAGTCCGATGAAAGGGAGAGGACTCGATAGTCCTGAAATCCGGCAATCTGCTTTACTTCCGGGAGGGCGATCAACTGTCCCAAGGCGGTGTCGGGTTCCTCGTCCACAAGTCCCTTTTGAATAATGTTATCAAGGTCGAGAGCGTGTCAACTAGGGTAGCGTACCTGATACTCAGAATTACCAAACGGTATTCGTTGAAGGTCATCCAAGTGTACGCTCCAACTTCGACGCACTTCTACGATGAGGTTGAGGCTATGTATGAGGATATCTCCAGAGCCATACATAGTACAAAGACTCATTTTAACGTTATCATGGGGGACTTTAACGCAAAATTGGGCAAACGAAGCGGTGATGAGCTGAGAGTGGGGCAATTTGGTATCGGTGATCGGAACTTCCGAGGTCAAATGCTGGCCGACTTCATGAAGAAGGAGAGCCTCTTTATGATGAACTCCTTCAGGAAGCGGGAACAGCGGAAATGGACTAACACACCCATGGATGGGTGCCACAAAAAACGAGATAGATTTCATCTTGTCAACGAGAAGACAGATTTTCAAAGATGTCTCTGTGATCAATGCCGTCAAAATTGGAAGCGATCACCGGATGGTAAGAGACACATTGAAACTGAATCTGTAACTCGAACGATCCCGACTGATGAAATCTACGCTCCGCCCTACACCTATACAGATCCAAAACCCCGAAAGTTTTCAGCTAGAATTGCAAAACCGTTTCGAATGCCTTGGTGACTGCATTGACGTGGACGATTACAACAACAGGTTCGTGGAAACTGTCCGTGCGGCTGGGTCTAAGCACCTCAAAACCCGCCGCGCAGAAAGAACCGGAAAAATATTTATCTCTACCCTCAAACTGATGGATGAAAGGAAGTATGGTCCTACAGTCTCCGACTGACGCTTCCCAGTATCGGCAACTTAGCAGGCAGATCTCTAAGTCCTTGACTCGTGCCCATTTTAACACAAATTGTGTAAAGGAGGCTATTGAGAAAAACAAGGGTTCAAAAGTCTTTAACAGGGATCTGGCTGCCGGACAGAGCCAGCTGACGCGACTTAAGACGTATCTAAACCCGAACTTTTGAGGGAAATTAAGAAGTTCTATGGATACACGACAACACGGGCACCTGTTAACAATACGGCGAAAGACCCTAGAGCCAAATTAACCCGACATTATACCGAAAATATCCCGGACTTCAGCCTGTAAGAGATTGGTATGGCTCTTAAACAACTTAAAAACAACAAGGCGCCGGGCGATGATAGTGTTACTGCTGTGCTTCTGAGGGCTGGTGGTAGACCTGTTTTGCGAATCCTCCAGAAGCTATTCAACTCCGTCATCCTCGAGGGCAGGACGCCTCAAGCATGGCAAAGGGATGTGGTGGTTCTGTTCTTCAAGAAGGGAGACAAATCGCTTCTGAAGAATTTCAGACCCGTAACACTGCTGAGCCATGGTTATAAGTTGTTTTCGAGAGTCATCACGAATCGTCTCGCGCGCAGGTTTGACGACTTCTAGCCTCCCGAGCTAGCCGGGTTCCGAAAAGGCTTCAGTACCATAGACACATTCATATGCTGCGGCGGGTAATTTAGAAGACCGAAGAATACAACCTGCCACTTTGCTTGGCGTTTGTGGACTATGAAAAAGCCTTTGTTTCGATCGAGACGTGGGCTGTGCTACAGTCTCTCCAGCGGTGCCAAATTGACTATCGATATATCGAAGCGTTGAAATGTTTGTATGAAAACGCCACTATGACAGTTCGCCTCCATGACCAGAATTCGAAGCCTATCCAACTGCAGCGAGGTGTCAGACAAGGTGATGTCATATCGCCAAAGCTATTTACCGCTGCGTTGGAAGATGTCTTCAAGCTTCTGGACTGGAGCGGGCTGGGCATCAACATTAACGGCGAGTACATCAATCACTTTCGATTTGCCGACGATATAGTGGTCATGGTTGAGACCCTGGAAGACCTTAGCAAAATGCTCGAAGATCTCAGTAGAGTCTCAGACTCTACTGAGGTCTTCGTTCATCGTCGGCAAACAGCTTTGGCGATATGACATCGCCTTGTCTGACACCTCAAGGAGTAAAATCTTAGATGAACATGGACAAGACGAAAATCAAACACCCATGCCGTACCTGCTCCCGTAAAAATCGGAGATTCTACACTCGAAACTGTTGATCATTACGTATACTTAGGCCAAACTATCCAGCTAGGTAGATCCAATTTCGAGAAAGAGGGCAAGCGTCGAATCTAACCCGGATGGGGGGCAGCGTTCGGGAAGCTGCGATATATCTTTTCGTCCAAATTTCCGCAGTGTCTCAAGATGAAGGTTTACGACCAATGTGTGTTGCCAGTGATGACTTACGGCACAGAGACGTGGTCGCTAACTATTGGCCCCATGAACAAGCTCAGAGTCACTCAGAGGGCAATAGACAGGGCTATGCTCGGAGTTACTCTGCGTGATCGAATCAGAAATGAGGAGATCCGCAGAAGAACCAGAGTAACCATTTATAGCCCGAAGAATTGCGACTCTGAAGTGGCAATGGGCACATAGCTCGTAGGACAGATGGCCGTTGGAGCAGCAAAGTCGAGTGGCGACCACGGACTGGAAGACGCAGCCAGCAAGGTGGACCGATGATCTGGTCAAAATCGCTGGAAGGCATTGGATGCGAGCAGCGCAGGACCGATCGTCGTGGAGATCTTTGGGAGAGGCCTATGTCCAGCAGTGGACGTTTTACGGGCTGCGATGAAGATGATGATGATGATGATGAATCTCAAAGTAAATACCAAAAGTTTGCCTTTATCATTTCTATTCTGATCTGTTTTTATCCAAAAGGTTAGTTGGTAAACTAAACTTGCTAATTGTACAAATATTTTGAATAGTGCAATAAGTAAATATATATATAAATCTCATGTTGCACCCGTGTGCACTAACGGTTTACGCTGACGGGACATCAGTGGAGGATAACAAGATGAGCCCATCGTGACAAATTCACCAGGAATTTATCATGATGGTTTCCTCATTGTACCATATCAGGTTGAATCGCGTGAAGGTCAAATTGATATGGTACAATGAGGTCATCAATCCGCATTACTATCCCTGATACCCTTTCCCGGCATTGTACACATTAAGTTGTATCACAAACAAGCAATACAGCTTGACTACTGAGCTCATATGCTTATATGTATGAGCTCATATGTCTGTATAACGTGGCTATACTAGCAGTGCGAGGAAGTGAGAGATGCCAACAAAATACATATGATAAAGTAAAATTCCTTGCCGCGTCTGTCTGTATGTTAGCTCGAAAATCTCAAAAATGATTACATAAAAAAATGGGCGAGCTGTTAATTCTGTTTTCATTCATCAACAGAGTAATTTCTGAAGGTTTACTTATATAATTCGTTGAGGTGTCTTGGGCGGGACGCTAGTTGTGTATATGATAGCGTATGAAAAGTAGTATCTAACACAAATGCATAAAATTTCAATTAAATTGTTTCAGCAGGTGTTACCTGATGATTTAACAAACTTATTTAGAATTTAACATATTATTACTCATATCATACAGTTCTAATATTTACTTACATACATACATTACAGGATAAAATACTAAAAAATATTATGTTACTTTCAGGCAACTATTTACTGCATAAATTTTAACCATACGAGTACTAACTTATGTGTAACGTCCGATCATGGTACAGTGCATGTGTTCAGTCTTGAGGATGAGAAACTCAACAAGCAATCTAGTCTGGCCACAGTCAACTTCTTACCAAAATACTTCTCTAGCAATTGGAGTTTCTGCAAATTTACTATTCCCAATGGGCCACCTTGCATCTGTGCATTTGGAGTTGACAAAAGTTCTATTATTGGTAAGTACCTTTATCGTTCAACATAATCATATAAACATACAGATAGCTGTTTACCACTATATTATGATACTGAGTAATTTAAAATATTATATATTTAGATGTTATATTTATTTTCTTAATTTTTCTGGTTTCAGGAGTTTTATTGTAGTATATATTAAAATTTATTTCTAATTGGCATTTCCTTTACACTTCCCATTTGCGTTTCAGATATTATAATTGACTTCTCTAATGATGGGTTATTTTAAAGTTCTTTATGTTAGCAAATTAGTATAATATCCTAATATAATTTAAAAAAATATTTCAGTACCTGATTTTGTATTGTTGCAGTTATATGCGCTGATGGTTCTTATTACAAATACAAATTTAACGAGAAAGGAGAGTGCACCAGAGATGTATACGCCCAATTTCTGGAAACTTCTGAGGATAGATAAAATGTAATAATTAAGCTATGGATATGACTACAAAGAAGTTAGTCATTACTTAGAAAGTGGTGCATTAATTTCTTATAAAAAACTGACTGGCATTATGCTGTGACATTCTATCTATTCTTATTATAATGAATGATAGCCAATTTATTAAAGCGTTATGTAATTATGAGATACCCCTTAATATGAATTGGGCAAGTGATATTTATTTAATACCTGCTAACATAGATTTACTGTTCTTCTACAATGATTTGTGTAAAATGAAATGCACTATAGTCAATGTTGTATGTAGTTATAATGTAATTTTTATGTTTTAACAATTTTAAAAATTATGTTGATTAAATGTGATACAGCAAATTTAGTAATTTAGTAGGTATATATAAAATAATTATTTCTTCGGCTGCCTTTACATTTTTATGTAAGTTTTACTGATGCAAGTACCTTGCGTAATAGACTTACACCAGATTTACGTATGTAAACATTTTAGTAAATAACATATCGTATTTTTTACATGATCGTTTATTGAAACATGTAATATTATATTATCTGTGTTGAAACGTACTTTCGTAAGTAAATCTTAAAGATAATGCCGACCATTGTTGCACAATGATTTCAGAGTCTCATTATTAACAAAATTAAAACTATAATTTATCAGTTGTCCATCAACTGATTGTTTTGAATAAGTACAATCGGCTTTAATAATATTATGCGACAATAAATTGGCAGCAAAGTTTTAATTGACAGAACATTGGCAGCAAGTTTTATTTTATCTAAATTTTTTATTATCAGATATTGTTTTCAACAAACAAATCTTATTGTACTGTATCTTCCAAGTTGAAGTGCAATAACAAGACATTTATTTTAGTATAGAGATATGCGTGTTCTTAAGATTTTATAATGTTTACACTTATAATATTGAATAACAATAAAACTCAAGTTCGTCTTTGGCGATACAATCTATATGAAACTAGCTGTACTTTGATATGTATAAAGAATTGAGATAACCTAATTTTTAAATGATAATTCTCACGGATGATTTTCTCGCTGATGTACTGTTTTCAGGGATGATTTTTGTAAATCCATTTCCATCTGGTACGTATAATCTAATAATATTGAAATTATACCCTGCACAAGCAACTTCATTATGAGAATGCGATAAATAATTATCTTCATATAAATGTGATGATGTCATTTCTCAAACAGTAATATAAAATTATTTACCACTAACTTGATTAATCTCAGAGTAACGCGCCGTAAGAGACCACTGATCGATATGGGATCCTACAAGTTTGGAATCGAGACTAGGATCTAAAGTGTAGACAGAGAAAGACCAAGATATCATGTATATAAAAACATGTTTCAAATAACCACTTTCTGTCGATTTAAACATTGATGACGCAAGGATGTCTTTAGATCATATCGGTATGCTATGACCATTTCATCATTTGTATGTTGCAATTGGAAGGTATAATTGACAAATAATCAGTGAGAAAATTACTCGTAGGTAAACAACTCAACTCTTAACTAAGACGATAAATCTATGTAATGTTGGTCAAAATGAAACTTGTACTCTTTTAGTGAAAACTGGACTGGTATCGTAATCTTTATACAATCCTGAATTAATGGCTGTAAGTGAGTCTCAAAAGTTTTGTTTATACATATTGTTATCACTACTTCTTTATTGTTTTAGCTCTGGTAAATCTAGTATGTTGGTATAATTAATTAATTTAGCGTGGGCTGAATATTTGTAAACTGATTGTTGGTATTAGTTATTGTTAGATATTATTAATTTTCTCCATGTGTGGTTTTCGTGAAGTCAGCAAAACAAACGTGTGATTTTTGACAATGACTTACACGAAACTATAGTCATCTCAATAATTTGGTATCATATGAATATCATTGAACATATCCATTAATTATTCAGGCTATTTTAATCACTTGAAACGAATTTGAGGTCCACTGTAGTAAAAAGTCAACTGATAACTAACAATTTTATTTTTCGACGGTCTATTAAACCTGCACCTCATAAATGAAATAAAAATGATGAAATTCACTATTACAATGAATATCCACAATCCGTATGAGGCTAAAAATATTAGGTACTAATAATAATAACTTCTTACTAAATGTACCTATATGTAAATAAAAGTATACACAGATGTAGATACGTCATGACCAGATCGCAGAATTGATTGATATCATAAAGTAATGAACCACATGATGATTTTGAATTTTTTGAAATTTGAAACAACATAATTTATTTAAACAATAATATCGAAATATTTTGTGTTAAATAAGTAAATGGATACACGGCCTATAATTTAACTACTTTGTGATGTGATGAAATTCTACATCTCTTCAAGACAGATATTGCATATTTATTCATAAATTATAACTAATTATTTCTGTTAAATTATTTGTTTAGTATGAGAGGATATTATATCTATTGCAAAAATTAGCCAAAGACTTACTGATGTTCGTGAGTAAAAATTTCAACCTAAAATGTCAGTTTTAATCACATTTTTAATGGTTGTGTAGTGTAGATATCGCAATTTGTCGATTTCAGATGTTTAATTTACAAACTTTAAAGTAGGAACAAATTAAAAAGTTCCTGTTACTGTTAATATATCTATAAAGAAAAGCTATTTCGTCGTAAAGCTTATGCTCCGCTCATTGTAAAATGGTGCTAGTGGCAGTTAATATTTTAGCATCTTTACTGTAAAAAAGCATCAGACTGAGCTTTGACGCGACGCTATCGAAATCAAACCACCATTGACGTCAAATGATATTTTAATATGATATATTAAATACTCAAATATTTGCTAACGATAGATAATGCCAACAACGAGCAAATGCCATGAAATCACCTTAACGATTTGATTTCTACATAGTTTCGTCAAAAATTAGTCTGCTGTGTCGAGTAATGTAATTAAAGATCCAGTCAATGCTATGCATTTTCTCTCAAGCAATTTATTTAGTAAACCTTTCTAAATAAAATAAATTTTTAGTTAACGGCGCCATGCTACAATAGTACGAGTATAATCTCTATTACATCGGTTCTATTTTTTTTTCTATTAAAAGGCCCATTAATACACACGCACCTGTACTTTTCAGTTAGCTGAAAATTTGAATCATAGAATTAAGTAGTTCCGTTTCCGTAGTCTTAAGTTTTTACATTTCATTCTCAGCTGCCCTTATATTATATACTTATTTTGAATAGAGAAGACTATGTAAAGTGATAGTAAACCTACGAATTATTAATCATAGCACTGTGAAGGATCATAATGTAATCATTCCTTTATATTTTCGACATTGAATGTAATGTTACATAATCTGACCTAAGAATTATATATTAATTGCTTTTGAAATTACGTAGTTTTATATTGTTAGCCATGAAAATGACCCTATTATAGATAAACATTTTTAATAAACAATTCTATTTTTCTAAGTTTTTATAATTTTGATTTAGTTGAACCCTATATAGACATATATTTTAAGCAATAACGTTATTTGCTCCTTAATATCATAGGATTTCTTAGCAAATGTATGATATTAAAGGCCAGTTATCTATTAAGTATCGTTTATTATTATTTCTTTAACACGTCTATAAAAGTATTTCTAGGTATATTAATGTTAGCAACACTTCGCATTTTTTTCTTTCCTTCTGCTTGTTGTTTTAGCAACTTCTTTCGGCGAGTCACATCACCGCCATACTGAGAAAAAAAATTATTGATATAAATATTATATATGTATACAGAAACTTACTGTTATAATGTTATAAACATGGAAATTTGTGAGGATGAATGGAAGTGGAATGAAGATTACAAAACTCAACTATGTATGATCTGTCAACCAAACGTGAGTCAAAATGCACATGCAGTAACAAAACAATGCTTTCAAAATGTTCTCTACAATGCTGTTATCAAGTTTACGTTAACAAGTTTTTTTGTGCGACTTAATTCAAGCGAGCACGCTATCTGATAGTTAGTCTACATAATAGAAAATGCTTCATCTCATAACATAAAGAGTGCATAGGTATCTTATGTGTTGAGAACGGAACCAAAAAGATTTTTTTTAATTGTGCATTGTTTATACTTACTAATTTTGCTGTGACATCTTTTCTGTACGCCTTTATAGTTTCCCTTGCGTAAACTTTCCCTCCTACTACAGCTTGGATGGCGACCTTATATAAAATTTCGATTTAGATAATATAAATTCGTGATAAAAACAACATCAGCTTTGGAAGTTAAGGCATCGAGCAAACATAACTAGCATTTTTTTATTTCAATGTATAATTTTAATCAGGGATTTGTCGGCGTGACCGGGGTTTAGCCATTTTACGCAATAAAAATATCCATGGTATCAAAAGGCAAAGAGATAAATAAAATTACCTGCACCATTTGTCGTGGTATCATTTCTTTTAACTTCTCAGCTAATCTTCTAGCATTATATTCCAAACGGCTAACATGTACAATAGTGGATAACTCTTCAACTAATGTTCCATTTAGCAAAATATCCATCTGTTAAAAATTCAAACATTATCGACTGTTAATTATGTTATAATGATTACAAAGCGATTACAAATTTGAAAATTATTTACAGTGACTAAAACTTTATTGTTGATTATTATTTCACATTTAATAGACTAGGCGTTTAACACACAGCTTTTCTTCTGATAGCCGCGAGTTCTCTTCAAAAGAGATACAAACATTTGTATTCATGAGTATAGTTGTTTTTATTGGTGTGGTTGCTTTCTGTATATAAGATTATGTAGCCAGAAAAAAATCTGCATATCTATTAGATGCTTAGGTTGCGCTGCTTTAATTGTCCTGGCTTTAGTTCACTTTTGTGACTGAAAATCGTAGAGAAAATGAGATAATACAATGATCATAAAGACAAAAAGGGTCGATTTATATTAACGTACCCTGACTAACACGCTAGGATGAAAGCCATAATCTTGATAGTCGAAACTGGCAAATCCTGAAGTGATGCTTTTGAGAGTGTCATGAAAATCAACAACCACTTCAGACAACGGTAATATGTATTGCATCATAGTCATTTTATCATCAACAGCATGCGACGGCAGCGGAGTGCCACGTCTGTCTATACACAATGAAGTTATGGATCCGATATATTCTACTGGTGTTATTATAGTACCTGAAATAACATACATATATATGGTCTATTGTATGGTCAAAATGCCGGAATACATCACATTATGTCTATGTAAAATGCCATTGAGTAAGTTACATGGTAAAATTTCACTTTGGTTGTTAATATCGGTAATGTAAATACCTAACATCTTTAAATTATTAATATGTCTCTTATTATAAAAATTATAGCACAAAATATATAAAGTAGAAACAGACCTATCACAAATGGTTCGAAATATTCCGCTATGTTTTTGACATCGGGTAATTGTAAAGGATTTGTAATTATCACTTCTTCACCTTTGTATTGTCTTATTATTTTGGTTCCCATAACTCTGGAATTCATAAATCAAATGTATTTTAGTAGTCACATTAAAAATAATTTGAAAAAATAAAAGTGATCTGAACTTACTTTATTTTATAAGGGACAGATGGTGCAGTAAGTATAGCTTCAGCTTTATATTCTTGTAATAATCTCTGTGTAAACACATCAAGGTGTAGCAATCCCAAAAATCCAATTCTCCATCCCTGTCCCAAAGCAGGACTGAAAAGTATAGTTTTTATTTTTAAAACACTACCATGTAAAATTATTCAGTTTCATTTTGGTGAATTTGTCAACATAACACATTAGTCACATTAAGTGACCTGACTTCATCATCATACTATATCTATCCTCCATTGGTGTCTATGATGTCATTGGCATCCTTCATCAGTACTACCATATAGTAATCACTATTCCAATAAAATACATAAAAAATACACCTTTTGATATTTTCTTTACTTTACCTACTATCTGGTGTGATTGAGACTGCAGAATCATTTAAAGATAATTTTTTTATTGCATCACTAAGTTGGGTATGTTGTGATTGATCAGCAGGAAAAACTCCAGCATATACCATATGTCGCACTGGGGCTAATGTTACGTCTTCTCCACTGACTGAATAGTCTGTTGATAAAAGTTGGTCTCCAACCGATCCTCCACCTTTTGGGCCACAACCTAAAACATGTTCAATTATCATATTAAGTGTCAGATGATTTTTTCACAATTTTTAGTTACAACAATCTTAATATACATATTATAATAATCATATCCAGGAGAATTCACTCCACGCCATTTAGTCCCAAGTTAAGCAAAACTTGTGTTATGGGTACTAAATAATATAATTTTTCTGTATATATATATATATATACATATATATATATGTGTTTATCACCTCTTCTAAAGAAGTTAACCAATATGAATGGAAAATATTCCATCAGATGGGTTCACTTTTATTATTATTATTTTTTTTTCCAAAAATTCTCATCTCCCCTCTTAAGGAGAGGAGATGGCAACATACCCCCGGCAGAAGCACAGTCGGCCGGGGTTCAGGGCCCCAGGGAGAGAAACCGGCGTACAATGCGGGCAGAATCTAACAGCACCGCTTTCTGCATCTTTCCCGGGAGTGAGCCGCCCCGGAATCCCTACCGTCTGAGATGTTGTTCCAGACTGGTTGGGATAAGACCGTTCACCGACATAACGATTGGAATGATTTCGGTGGACATCACCCCCCACATTTCGGTCACCTCGTGAGCCAGGTCGAGATACTTTCTCTTTTTCTCAGTTTCGGCTTTCACGAGGTTCTCGTCATGCGGTATGGTGATGTCCACCAAAAACACCCTCGAAAGTGCCCGATCCATCACCACGATATCAGGTTTGTTCGCAAGAACGGTCCTGTCCGTGATGATGGATCGGTCCCAGTAGAGCTTGACGCTGTCGCTTTCGAGGATCGGCTGGGGCTCGTACTTATAGTACGGCAACCTCTCATTCGCGAGGCCGTACTTCAGAGCTAGTTCTTGATGGAGTATTTTGGCTACCTGGTTGTGTCTGTGCAAGTACTCAGTGTTGGCAAGAGCTGAACAACCCGAAAGCACATGTCTGAGTGACTCTCCGGGATGGCGACATGCCCGACAGATGTCCTCAGTGCCATCCTTCAGAATGTGCTTTCGGTAATTGTTCGTCTTAACCACCTGATCCTGTATTGCACAGACAAAACCCTCGGTCTCTCCGAAGAGATCACCGAACTGTAGCCAGTGCACGGAGGTCTTCGTGTTGACGTACGGCCCGTGAAGGGCTTTGAAGAACCTTCCGTGCAACTCCTTCTCTTTCCATACGGCCTCCCGCTGAGAGGTACCCAGGACTTCGGGTTTTCGAATTTGAAATGGCTTGAAAAAAAAAAAGAATTGCATGGCTAAGGTCACATGGCTGGCCGAGAACGCCTTTAACCAGTAGTGCTGCAATCCGTCGATTCCCGGACTTTTCCAGTTCGGAACCCGACAGATCGCAGCAACCACGTCTTCCTCCGTAATGGTAATGACGTTCATCGGCGTTATTCGAGCACATGCTTCCTCAACACCGTGCATCCATGCGCCCTCCTCATGTTCCACAGGTTCAGACCACAGCTGTCGCCAGAAGGCGACGAAATTGGCTGTCTCGGGTCTTTGTCCTGTGGGCTGTAGTTTTGGGCGCTCCAAGTTTCTATAAAACTTCCGTTGATCACTCGTAAAGAGACGATTCTGTTGATACCTCTCGACCCTCTCAGAGTACCGTCGGAGTCGCTTCCCCCATGCAGCGACCTTTTGCTTCAGGTCATCTATACGCTCCGTAAGTTTTTGTCCGAAGTCCGGCTGGAACAGACGTACACCTGTCCCAGCAAAGGCCTTTTTTACGGAGCGCATAATTCTCGGGCGTGTATTGCCCTCCCTGAAGCAGAGCAGTCTGCCAATGAGGACCCTGGCCTGGGTGATCCGTCGCTCAATCCTTCTTTTCCAGGCTGGTTTCGCATTATCCCTTTGGATATTACGTCCAGCCCGGGGCATTTTTGCGCCGGTATATCGGCATACTGCCAACGCAGCGCCAAACAGGATTGAACTCGTCTCTCCCAGGCCACCGCTGCCCTCAAGGTATTGAGGCAGCAGTCCATTTGCGGCCTCAATGGCATCCCGCGTCGCCACATTTGGATGTATCCGGGGAAGCTTCGGTCTCTCTTCGAGGGGAGTTCTTCGGATCTCTAGAATCGCCTCTTCTAGTATGCTCCTCATATGCTCTATATCCTGGGAAGTTGTTCCGTCCGCATCCGCTTCTGAAGGCCTTTCGGCAACCATCTCTACGTTAGGTAGCACGTCTGAGATGGGTTGCTCCATGGTCGTAGGGTCTGCTTCTGGAACAACTTCACTTCGCAATCGTTCGAGTTCGGTCGCGCTAAACATACCAGAGCGCTGTATGTACCGAACTCTATCGGCTAGGTTCTGTTCCGAGACGATTAGCTCCGGTAAAAGACGCAGAAACTCGCGGTGCATTACTGCCCTGTATCCTGTTCTGCCTGTTTCTGTCCCTGTAGCCCTGTAGAACGCTCGCATGAGGTCTTCGTTCATGGCTCTCGACCATCTCATGCGACGTGTACCACCAGTGGCGGGCGCCGATTGCTGGGCCTGTGACGGCCCTGCCGGTGCCAAGCCAGCTGATGTCGATGGCAAGGGGTCGGACCGGCCAGGTGGTGGGGCCGGTCGGCTGGCCGGCTATTATTATTATTATTATTATTAAAGCTTTATTGTCCATATATTACAATTATAACTAATATTTTAAGTTAGGATTAATTTATTTTCTTTATATATGTATATGGTCCCATGTGGGTAAAAGCCTCCTCCAACTTGTTCCATTTCCCTCTATTCACAGCCACGCTCATCCAGTTTTCCCCGGCCACTTCTTTAATGTCATCAGACCATCTCTTTCTCTGTCGACCTACTCGCCTTTTTCCTGTCGGTCCCCGCCACTTTGTTAGTTGGTAAATCCACCTTTTGTCTTTGTACCTAGCTACGTGACCTGCCCATTTCCATTTCTGTCTTAGGCCATGTTGAAGTGCATCTTTTATTTTTGTTTTACCGCGAATGACTGTGTTCCTTATTTTATGTATTCTGCGTAGCTTTAGTACACTTCTTTCCATTGCGTGCTGACAGGACAAGACTTTGTTTTTTAATTTTTCCGTATATACCCATGTTTGGCTTGCATAAGTTAAGCTTGGCAGGATGCAGGAATCCATTATTATCTTTTTCATTTTCAAGTTGTAGTTCCCTTTTAGAATTTCTTTCTGTGCCCAGTATTTCTTCCATGTTATATTTATCCTTCAGTCAATTTCATTTTCGTTACTATTGGGGTCAAAGGAAACCATTTTACCCAAATACACATAGTCATCCACATATTCTATTTCTATTCCATCTATTTTGATTGTTTGTTTGTAGCTGTTAGTCATAATTTTTGTTTTTGAAGAATTCATATGAAGACCTATGCTTCTACTCTCTGCATCTAAATTATTTAGCATTTTGTTTAAGTCTGTGGCCGTTTCACTAAAAAGAGCTATATCGTCTGAGAACCTTAAATGGGTTAGCCTTTTATTCAGTATTCCTTTGTTTCCCCAATTAATATTTGTAAAAATTTGCTCAAGTACCGCTATGGACAATTTAGGAGAGAGAGGATCTCCTTGTTTCTCACTTTTTTCAATTGGGAATTCTTTACCTAATTTGACTCTACTTGTACTTTTGGAGTAAATGTTCTTTATAATGTTTATGTATTTTTCGCTTATGTTATTACTTCTTAATGCTTTCCATATAGATGAATGTATTAAGCTGTCAAATGCTTTGGTATAATCCACAAATGCTATGTATATTGGTTTATTAAACTCCTTGTATTTTTCGATTATTTGTTCCATAGTATGTATATGATCAATTGTCGAGTAATTTGGCCGAAATCCTGCTTGTTTTATGGATTGATTTTTATTAATTTCTGGTGCTATTCTGCTAAAAATAATTGACGAGAAGAGTTTGTAAGTTGTTGTTAATAAACTAATGAGCCTGTAATTACCAATGTCAAGTGGGTTCACTTGTATTATACAAAATGTGTAGAATCACCAGAATGTAAATTTAATTTTTAGAATATCGTTGATAGACAGTGTTTTAATTTTTATTAGTAATATTATGAAATAAATAAATTGCACTATATACCTAAGACTATTTGTTAATACATCACTTACCTACCATTATAACTTGACCAGCTCCTGCTTCCTCTATAGGTTCTTCATGGGGTCGTAATAGTGCTAAGTATTTAACAATCTGTTGTTTAGATCCCAACCTCCACTTCACTGTTTGCCCTAATTGTACCTTACCCGAATGGATGTATGCCAAACATAGTACACCTCTATATTTGTCATGCCATGTATCAATTATGTGTGCTTTAAAAGGATCATCCAATTTAACAACTGGTGGTGGAATTCTCTTGATTACACTTTGTAACAATTCTTCAACACCCCACCCCTTTTTTGCTGATATACTCAAAACTGTATCAGGATCTATGCCAAAAACAGTCTTTAATTGTGTTTTAACCTTATCAGGATTAGCTCTAGGTAAGTCCACTTTGTTTAAGGTGGGTATTATATATAAATTGTTCCTTTTGGCAAGAGAATGGACTGCAACTGTCTGTGCTTGTACACCCTCATTGGCATCTACCAACATGATTACTCCCTGACATGCAGTTACACTTCTAACAACCTATTAAAAATGAAGAATTATGAGTGAAGCTACCATACCATGAATTCTAAACAAAAAAATTCTCATTTTCACTCCAAAACTTCAGAAAAAAAGAAAAATGGTATATTTGAAATTTCCATCTTATGAAAGCACTACTTTCTTTATTCACACCCTTTGCCCAGTATTACTACTCACTTAAACTAGTAAGAATACTTGCCAAAGGGAGTGAATTATAGATGCTTTTATGATACTGATATTGCCGGTGTGAACATGGACACAAAATTTATTACTATATATATGTTAATCTTCAATAAAAAATAGGCCTACATTGTTGAACTTATTGAATTAAATAATTGTAATATTAGTATGGCATACAAAAAATAACTTAATTAGAGTTTTGTGTTTATAAATTTAACACTAATTAAATATAAAGTTGTAAACAAAATATAAAATTATTTAAGGAAACATATCTTACATACCTCATTGGCAAAATCCACATGGCCTGGTGTATCTATAAGATTCAATAAATATTGTTCACCATTGTATGTGTAATTTAGTGATGCTGTAACAGCTTTTACAGTAATTCCTCTTTCTCTTTCTACCTAAAAACAATAACATAATATAAATCTACAGATCTTACTTATAAATTTAGACACTAAGTAATTTGTTGTTCAAAGGCTGAAGAACTCTGATTGATATTTTATAATAGGTGAAGTATCTCTACTAATTCATGATGGATAGTACAATAGTTTTTGTCATAATATATGTAATTTACAAACATAACTAAATAATTGATAATAACAAAATAGTCCAATACCACAATATGTATGAAGTTATGAATTAACATACTTGTAACTGATCTAAAATTTGAGCATGTTCTGTTCCAGGTTTTATGACACCAGTTATCTCCAGTAATCTATCAGCTAAGGTGCTCTTGCCATGGTCAACATGAGCTACGATACTGAAGTTCCTAATTCTCGTTGCATCTGGTATTTTGGAATCTGAACTGCTAGGTCTTTTGATTATAATTCTAAAAAGGAAACAATATGAAGTAACACTATATTTGATAAATATGAATGCCAAAAACAAGTTAATCGATAAAATATACCTTTGATATAATTTAGTAGAGATTAATGAATATTTTTTTAGACAATTAATGGGATTTATTAATTTATCCATTATTATTATAACATTTATAACCTCTTATCTAAACAAACTTGACAGAAGTTGACATGACAGCTGATGCGTGTTGCCAGTAGACCTATGTAGTTCGCGATCAAAGTTGGGTAGAGCGTTCTCAAAGAAGAGCAGTACGAACTAGTTCAAAACTCTTTGGCTCTTTAGATCGTTTGAAAAATAATAAACCCTTGTAAAAGAAAAACAAGACCTCTTATAAGCAGGAAAAATATTTATAGACCTAGTGGTTGACCAGACTATTGCCTTTACTGACTTGAGTCAGAAGGACATGAATTCACAAGAGATGCGAAACGCATTACTGGTGGCTACATTATTGCCTTTTCCTAATCCTTACCGAAACATAGTTTTTAAGAAAAAAACTCCTAAATAGAATCCTATAATAGTGATCGCTGTACGTTTTAACATTGTAACCCTTCTAATATTATGAAAAGGTCCAGAGTACCTACTGTGAATTTGGCCATTACTTCTGTTCCAATTGGAAAACACCGTGGCTTAATGGTTTACTATCATACCATGACTTAGAACCGAGGGTCGCAATTTCGATATTCATAATAACACCTGTCATCCAATAAACAATATTAATTGAAAAGACGGTTGATATATTATTTGCTATCAGAGTAGGTACAACACAAATAACAGTCGCGAAAATTACTTATTTTGATTAAGACATAATAAATGTAATAAAATAAAGAACTAAAAATATTTTTAACATAAATTACATTTATTAGTTTACAAATAGATACGGTACGTCGGCAGCTGACTGTATCTGTTGTAGAAACATTCGGTGGAACGTATGCGAAGCCAAAGGTTCGGCGTTGATAGTGGGTATAAATGAATTAGGTAGGTATATAAATCGTTTTGTATAATTGTGTTTTTACTATTGTTATTAACTATAAGTATATTAAATTTATCAGACAAGATTGTAACATAAAAATAGTTCTAATAAAAATTGTGCGACATTCACAAGACATCTATTGAATCTGGAAATCTATTGGCTGTACCGATATTTCCATCATTATTTTAAATTATTTCTTCTATACTTTGTTCAGGAGAATCTGTAGAAATATTTTCTTCTTCAGGATGTTTTTGTAATACTTTTAATTGTTCTTTAAATCCTGAAACAAAAAATATTTGCAATATAACATTAGTTGCTACGCGTAAGAAATCAAAACTTAATTTCCATTACATGTAATTATAGGATTACCACACGACGTTTAGTCCAACCTAATCGATACGTCGAGCGACGTAAATACTTACGTCTTAAAATATTTACCATAAAATTATTTTAAGACCCGGTTAACAATATAAATAGTGAATATGAAACACGTAAGTTTCATAATAACTAGAATAATTCAAAATCCAACTAGGTATTAAACGTATCGTTCAATAATTAAACTCACGAATTAATTCTGGATGATTCACAGCAAACTGTAGAAGTAACATTAACACTTTCACCTCAGTGACGAGCCCAGATCGGCCGGACACCGCGCGAAGTAACTGTTGTCCACTTGTCACACCTGAAAACATGATACACACACATAAACAGGTTAGCCGTAATGGAAAACCGAAAACACTATTCGTGAAATAAAACCATTTTCACAAAGACAGTCTTAAAATAAATTTTGTAATTTTAATACAAAATTTATTTTAAGATTACAGAAATCGGTCTAATTACTGCGTCTAACATAGTTTAGTAGCGTGTCAAGCCGAGTTTCAAGTAAACTGGCAAGCAGCACCGTGTGTATATTTACATGAACCATTTGGAGCCACTTTTGACCCCCTCATAACTCAAAAACTCTTTCACACAAACCTGTCAAATTTGGTTCATATATTGAGACTTGCGAGATAAATATGTGTTCCAAATTTCATAAACATATCTCAAACGGTTATTTAGATATTAATGTCCAAAAATCGTCATTTTTATCACTGATCAACTATAGATAAAAATTATAACCCACTTCCAGATGACCTAGGAAGCTCAAATTTGGCATGCAGATAGGTAGTTAGGTGAATATAAAGGAAAAAATTGTTACTTCACTGGGCTAGTTTTCATATACGAAATATACTGTAGCCTTTGAAAGTTCTAAACATGTTACTTGTCGGTTCCTATTTTAATATTAGTAGTAACTAGCAATCGAAAGTAATAATTGGTATATGAGAACTGGCCAAGTTAGAACTTAGGCTACAGTATATTATCCTAAGTTATAAGAAGAAATGATATTTTATATTGTTATAAATACATTTCAGGACAGACCATTGAACTTGGCACCCATTTAGATCTCATCTCTTTTGTCGTAGAAGTCAACAATCAAGGCATATATCATAATATTAAACTCGGCTATCATTTCACATTTATGTTTTTGATGGGATTATTATTTAACTAAACTATTAAGAGTAAATAATTTACCAGTATTAATTTCACCAGCTTCTAATGTTTTCTTAACATCCAAGTAACGCTTAACGAATGTACTTTGTTCTTGAATTGCGACGGTTTGCGCTCCTATAAAATTAATTTCGTTTATTAACGAATTTAAACAAAATAAAGACAAACTGGCAGTAGTCTCTGCTTATTCCGTAAGGTTCTGGTTTGAAGATATTATTAATTAATTATTTTTGAATAATCTATATAAAGAATCTGAAGTAAAGATACATGAGTGTGAGCGGATTGCTATAAATAGGAAATAGTAGTCCAGTAATGTCAGGCCCACATTACCACGACGTCCTCCAAATTACATTATAGCGCAGTCGGCTATCCATTGTATTACATTGCACCAACATCATATTTATATATATATATATATATATACAAAGAAATATATTTATCACCTGATTCAGGATCAGATGATTTTGCTAAGCATTTTGCAGCTTCCTTAAGAGATTCCAGTGCTTTTTCATAGTTCTGTAAATGATTAAATTAATTTAAATATGATCAGAACCTTATTACACCATATGTGCTGTAGAACGGTGCAGGTGACATTTTCATTTCATTTTCATTCGCGATTTACGAATTATGACTTAGTATTTCAGCTGTACCACATTAGTAAAATATTAAATCATTAATAATTGTATCAACTTAAATGTAGCAATTGTTAAATGTAAAATTAGTAACTGTTAACTGTAGCATGCTGGGGGAAAGGGGGTTGCTAGTAATATGTACGTATGATCTAATTGCTAGCAATGTACCATGTCAGATTGACCTCCACGCGGTTCCCCTTGGAAACCATTGTGATAAATTCTTGGTGAATTTGTCACAATGGGCTAACTGACCTGACCTCATACTCATCATCCTCCACTGGTGCCCTACCAGCGTAAAACGTTAGCGCCGGCTGGTACACCATTCCATTATCATCTATAAAAAAAAACCGTAGCATGCTACAACGTACACAGTATAAATGATAATATCACCATATAACAGACCACCTAGCTGTAATACTATATACATTTATATTAAGTTAATATATAACAGTTTACATACATATATACATTGCGTTATGTTAATCTATGATTAAGTGGTAGTAAATATAACTTTTTATAGCGAGTTAATGTAAAGTAAAAATATAATAAAGAAAAGTGGATCTTACATCGTACTCGTCGACTTCCATCTTGGCGCAATCTGCGTAGAAGGCCGCGAGTTTCCCGTAGGCGCGGGCTCTGGTGTAGAAATGCAGGATATGGCGAGCCAGGTCTGGTCGTGCGCGCCAATCCGCACGTCGTCGCAGGAAATCAGCTGCCATCAGCTGCGCGCCGCGATCGCGAGTTGCCGCCGCAAATACTGCGATGCGATCCGCATCACCCGACCGCATCAACCACCGCATAGCACCCGCCTGTATTTTTGTTTTAATATTTATCATTTCGAATTTTGAAACCAATATTGTTTCTAATTCTAACAACGAGCGTCTCTTTTAAATTGAAATTACGGGTTTGGTTTCAAGTTTCAATAAACAGGACAGCTTACAATTTTTAACTGCACACAATTCGATTTTAAAGTATCGAACTTTTCATCAGTTCATTTTTAATTCTTTGGAAAATGTTTTTTGGTTACACGGGCATTTAATATTAAATTATTCAAAATTTATTCTACGAAATCCTTTGACTTTATTGACTTCAGAGACTTGTAGTAGAAAATATGTATCGGAGAACTACTGGAACTATATTTTTAAATTTATATCTGGCCCTTCTTAATAGAAGACGTCGTTCAATTATTTTATTAAAAAATAACATTAAAGGGAAAGAACGTAAAGATATTGTAGCACTTTCAAATGAATGCATTATAGAATTAAAAATAAGATAGTCATTCTTCTCATCTCGATATCATTCCGAACTAACAATCATAAGAGTCTGTAATTACATGTTTTCAGAAATAACGTTATTTATGTCTTCAATTGTTTCGTTAGTTTTGTTGATATTGTGAGGCTTTTACCAAACAAATAAATAAAATTTCAATATATTGATATAAGAATGTCATTTTAGGAATTAAAATCGGAATACATACCTTGTCTCCTGCATGAGCGAGGCGTTTGGCAGCCTGTTGATAGAGTCCTCGCGTTCCAAGCACGTCTGCCAACCGACGTAGTAGTGCATCACGGCCACTGGTGCCAGCCGGTGCCGCCAGCCGTTCACTCAGCTCCTCAGATAACGGTGCTGATGATTGTTCCACTATTTCCAATGCTTCCTCATACTGTCAAAGAAAATCATTAGATATTTCTAACCTTAATATAAATATTTTTGTTTATATCTTGAGATGTTGTTAACGTAACAACATTAAGTTGTGTGTAAATAGGTCAGTTGGATCATCATAACAGTTAAGTTGAAAAATAAAATGGAAATAATATTCGACAGCCTGGGTGGTCTAGTGGTTTAGCACATGGCTTTACTTCCGATGTTTTTCGGTTTTCACGGTTTCAATTCCTCGCACGGTGCAAACATTTGTATTCATGTATATGATTGTTTGTATCGACCTGAGTGTTTTCTATGTATATTATGTATATATTTACAAAAAATCTAAAAAGCATTTATATTAGCTGTTTTAGATTGCGAACGCGAACGAAGAATTAACAAATTCTCTAGGGTTGTTATTATTAACTATATTATACTAACTTTTCCAGCCGTTGCTAACAAAGCAGCGGCGTGTGAATGATGGTCTGAATTCTTGAGATGTGTAGCAAGGGTGTGCGCAACTTCTGGGTCAACACGATCACCCAACGATTCCACCGCTGCAATCATAGCATTCGTATCGCCGCTACTTATAGCCAATTTCAAAGCCATGTGTGGTTTTCCTATAAAAATAAAATAAACATGTATATGATTGTTTGTATCGACCTGAGTGTTTTCTATGTATATTATGTATATATTTACAAAAAACAGTAATTGTTCGGAAATCTTTAATATAGGATGATTTGCTTAAATATTTATCACCGGTAGTAACATTATTCAAAGTTTTCTTGTCTTGCAACGATATATTTGTTTGTTACTGATGACAATTTTACATTTACGGATGTGAACGATCAAACATAAAATAATTAATTGTATAATAGGCAATGTAGTAGTTTACCTGCTTTTTGATACAAAGCAATTGCTTGTTCATTTCGACCACCATTTTCTAATATTGAGGCCGCATGAAGGGCATGTGTTGAGGATATAGAACCTGCACGCCAAACAAGATTCCAAGCGCTTGCCTCAGCTGCGACACGGATCGCTGAAGACACTGCACCACATTTTATGTACATCTAAAATAAATATTTGTATTATTAGTAGGTGTATTGAGTAATGTAAAATAGTATTTCTAAATACGAATACTTTTCTAGTTTTAACGTTAAAAGTTGTATAGTCACCTTAACGGCATTCTCGGTTTTATCTGGTTGCATCTCTAGATAGCGTGCCATTTGATATAAAGAAGAAGAATTCATATGGCATATTTTTTCAGCTTCGTCTATTCTATCCATGTGACATAATAATCTAGTCTGTTCTCCAAAATCATTTGCGCGAGCGTATGCCTCCAATGCACCATCAAGATCACCAACACTTTCAAGGTAATGTCCCCACCACGTTATCAAACTAATATCATTCGACTTGGCTACATATTGTGCTAATACGGGAGCTTGACCTTGGACTATTAGGTTTCGCGGTACATGGGGTACAAGAGTGCCTGCAGCTTCAAATAGCTTCAAAGCTGCGGCGGACTCCCCGTTAGACCAAAGAACTTTTGCCAATTTATGTTGAGCACTCTTAATAAGTAAGATATTCTCCCCTTCGTCTGCTCCATTTGTTATTTCGTTTAATCCTCCTTCTTTAGACGATATCAGGCGCGTTACTAAATCTGGCCTTTCTGCTTTTCGGAATAAATTCTCTGCTTCATGTATCATGCCAAGATTAACAGCAAGTACGCCTATTTTACAAGTATCATCGATGTCGTCATCGCTCATCGCTTTACGCATCATAAGTGCACCTTTAATATTACCCATTTTACCTAAGCACACTGCCCCGACATCAGGTCTTTTGCGTGATACACATTCTTTTGCTAAGCTGTCCCAAATAACAGTACTTTTCCCACCTGAGATGCTGGAACCTAATACAACCGCTTTTTCTAAATGACCCGTAGTCATGTAATAAAGAAAATCTAATACTTGTCTAATATTTAAAGGATCATAGTCAGGCACATCTTCAAATTCACGCATTAATATTTTTTTAAGGTTTTGTTGTGACAGTATAACTAAATGCGGAGCATATAAAGAACATAGTACAAAATCTGTCATATAATATTCTTCTGAAGAAGAGCACCAATTTTTATATTCATTAAGTTTGCCTTCATGACAGATAAACAAATGGATGCTATCTAAATCTGCTGACCTCATGTGAACAGCAACGAGTCTAGGATCATTACTGTCCCATAGTATAGCTAAAGGAACACTTTGATAAGGCGGTAATGAGTTATCATTGCTAACGAGAATATTTGATATAATATCATTAGCTACATCCCACAAATAAAGTCTAGGATCAGGGGCTAATCCAGCATTAGCAACACTTAAACAAATATATCGCCCAGTGGAGTTCACCGATGCTCTCATCACCTCTCCAAAGTCTTCAATCATTTGGTAGCAATTTTTTGGAGGATATGGCAATCGTAGTCCTTTCTTGGTTATCTCTGCTAATTTAAGTGTTCCATCCATTGTTGCGATGACAACAAACTTATTAGTATTTGTGATTCCAATTGGTTCGCCTTCCCCTTCTGTACTAGGCAGGATACCTAAACTGTTACCTGTTATTGTATAACATTCAATGTGAGGATTAACGACTCCGACAAGAATGTCATTGTAGATAATAAGAACATCCGTCTTCCAGGAAAACGTTCTTATAAGAGAAAAATTTATTTCATTGTCTTTGCTGCACATCCATATCTGTAAATTATATAATAATTTTATTTATTGACAATTAATTAAAAAAAGTACAGAGCTTGTTTTAAAGTTATAAGTTATATTACCTGTACTTCTTTACCATCCCCTAAAGCTACATATTGATCTTTATAAGCAAACGCTCTTACTGTGATTGATGCATTAATACTAGCTGTAAAATCATTTTTATTACAGACAGCTAATTCATTAGCAGATTTTTGTACAATCCACACATTTGGGGAATATCCCCATGAAACAGGTTGTTCACGAAGTATATATGCACTAGTTATACAATTTACATGCAATAAAGGGTTCATCAATCCCTCAGAACCCCAACTAACTTCTTTTACTGTTCCTTTAATAGTTGTGCTACTTATGAGTTTCCATTGGTTTCTGTGATCACGTCGCCATAGATATAGATGTCCCTGAGATGTCCCACAACAGAGCGTATCACTTAAATTGCAATAATTAATACTTGTAAATATATCGCCTGGGGCAATTTCTTCTTTTTCATTTGGCAAGGCGTCATTATCTCCAGTTTCACTATCCCATACACGGATTAAATTGTCTCCAGTTATAACAGCTACATTGTAATTCCCAGCCAGAACAATGCATTGGCCATTTCTTGCTGTCATTCTTACGTGAGTATCTGTTGTTAGAGACCCATCATCAGCTGTAAATAACCTAGTTAGGCTAAGAGCGCCACCTGATTCCCATGCGACGAGGAGGTATATGTTGCTGATAACACCCATAAATATAATATTTCCAGAAGCATTAAGAACTTCAGAACATGCGCCTGTATGGTCAATATACAAAATTACACCATTATCTTGAGCAGCATAACAAGCATGGTTATCAGGTTGGCTGCCTTCCCTCATTCTAGCTGTAGTGCGGGGACGCCAAGCTGCTAAAGCATCTAGAGCATTTTCATCTCCACCAACTGCTGCTCGAGCAAGCCCTCTAATTGAGGACTCGCTGTTGGGACGAGGAGAACAGAATGTAACATGAGTTATCACATCACCTAATTGGTGATGAAAGGAAGTTAGAGGAGCTCCAGAAGCCGATTGCCATCCAGATAGAGAGCCCGCAGTGTCAGATGCCAGGAGACGTCCACCTCCAATACTGAATGCCACTGTGGTAAGAGCAGCATTATGAGGTGCTTCCAATCGTGCCCATGAGTATTCCAACCAAATATATAATTCGCCTCCATCCCAACCTACTACTAATAATTTTCTAGTAGGATGCCAAGCAAGGGCTGTCACTTGATTAGACAACAGTATAGGCCATTCACAGCCTTCCAAAGGAAGTCCCTGAAAATATAATTAAACTAATTGTGCTGACTTCTTAAAATATGTTGGTGGTGAAATAATATAACTGTAGTGTGTCCATGAGCATGTATGAAAGCGTGTGTGAAAGCCGATTCCCGCATGAAAGAGGGATGTGTAAAGCAGCTTGGTACATATAAATAAAATTTGAGTGTCTGTTTGTAATATTAAAATAACCGTTTTTTACTATATGCATATGAATATAAATATGGTACATACATCAACATAACATTTTATACAATTATTGTCTGTCTGTCTGTTTGTTCTAGCTAGTCTGTGAAATGCCTGACATTGATTTTGACAGGACTTTTATTGGCAGGTAGCTGATATAATAAGGAGAGGAGTACCTTAGGCTACATTTATTTTAGGAAAATAAAGTTAAATTCCACGCAGACATAGTCGTGGGTATAGCTGGCTTAACTTAATTTTTTAAAGAGATGTCTTTGAGCGAGACTAAGGTACGCATATCTACATCTGCATCTATCTTAGTCTCATCTATTTCACTCTTTTTACAATCAACCTCAAGCAAACCAAGTAGTAAAAGAATGTTCAAAAACAGTAATTATATTTTCACATAAAGTATTGAGGGGAAAGGAAAAACTATTATTATTAAATGTGAAGTTATGATTTTAATATCTATATAAATAATATAAAATTTCAACAGTTCACTAAATGCACATGAAAATGTGTTTAGTTTTTTCTATAGTCCCTCTTGCAATCAGTCGAAGACTCTTTGAAAAGATGTGATAAAAGTTATGTCACAGGTAGAGTGTGATTCCCTATAGAATCATTGTCTCTTTAGGTAGTCCTGAGTAGTCAAGGAGTTTGTAGCCTATGCATTATAAGATGACATATGTTATCAGACTATCATATGGTTGGACAGTACATTGGGATTATTTACTAGCCATGTGTTGTAGTTGGAGCAGCAGTGTTTTATCTCTTCAGCTATTGTGTTTATATTGAGATACTCATAAACCTCAGATGTTTTGCACACCTAGGAAAATTTATAAGCTATTTTAAGATACTATTTTAAGCACCTTGTATTATGCTTCTATTGGAGCAACTGTACCCCATAATTGAATGCTGTATGACCAAATTGGTTTCAATATTATACTATTACTATGGGGTAGTTTCCTGATCGCTGACTGATACATGAAGTGATTTGGATGCATTGGCTGCCGCCATTCATTTATTGAGCCACCAGTTGATAAGATTAAGGCCATTTTGCTTAGTTGCAAGCTACAACTGTCAAGTGTCATCAGCTTATGTAGCTGTGGTTACACTCTCGTGTTATGATACGTCTCAAGGGTAGATGGTATACAATACTGATCTCAAACTAACCCTGGGACACTCCTACCAGTATTTGGTGGGAGGAAGGTAAAACCATAACAAAACAAAAACATATATTAAATTAATAAAGTTAAATTATGAAAAAAATGCAGTTATATCTGAATAATACAGAATTTTATGTGTTTAATAAAATTAATGTTTCAATTATGTAAGGTAAACAGTTTTGTAATTATTATTTACTTGTTCTTGGAATACATGTATAGGTTAAAAAAAAAAGAAAAACAAAAAGTCGCACTGATATTCAAATTTCAAATTCAAATTCAAATTTTGTTTTCAAATTAATGACAATAAAGAACACTGTTATTGAACATTCTAATTCCCTTATGGAAAAATGTAATGAATAGCATTACATTGTAATGAAAAGGAAAAATGTAATGCTATTAAACACTTACATTTTCATGAAATATTGTTACAAATCCTCCTTTTTCTTGGTTGTAAGAGCCTATGGCTAGAAGGGGCATAGAGGGATGCCATGATCCCACTGTTGATATTACACTATTATCAATAAAATTTAACTTAGTGTCAATGTACAGAGTCATGTTTTAACACAGTACAAAATGTTATTAAATGATAAATCTATTTAGATTTATGCCTCTTGCAGTATTTGTACTGTTCAAAAAAAAAATATTATTCATAGTATTGGTAACTATTTTAATTTAGTTATTGTAATAATATTTTTATTAAAAAATAGTCTTTTTACACGACTATTCTTTCTTGGAACTTATGTTTCGATAAAGTTCTTTTCAACTCGTATAAATTTATCAGAATTTAGATACCAATTCATTGATTGCATTTTATAAGTGAAACACATAAAAGCATTTTATTAAACTTTTAAATACAACATCAAATCTCACAACTTTGGTTTCTATGGAAACATTTTTTTTTAATTCGGTTTATCCCGTCTCAGGGATAGCAAAAGAACTCAGCTCATACTGCCATATGGAAATAATTGACATTGACAGAGTGTATTAGATAGAATATAATTAATTTAATCGAAAAATACATATAAAAAAATAAAATAAAAAAAACAAACCCCCAAGTATGACACTAGTTCCCAAAATACAGATTTTTAAATTTTAAATACCTGTATCTTAATTATATTACAAAAGCGAATGTTTGCAAGTATCTATGTTTGTTACTGTTTCTCGCAAAAACTACTGAACGAATTTGATGATATTTTTATCTCCAATCTCTTCACGGCTTTGTACACCTCTGAACCCTTGCTCACTACATATATACAGCGCTCTTAAAATCGGCCAACGGTATTATATTTGGATGTCATCTCTTGCAAGGTGTCTGCTAAGGTATCACGCCAATATGTCAAAATCCAAATAATTTTGGCCCACAGATTGTGGAGTCAACATTTAATAAATATATTGTATCATTTCTACTTAATGAAAGTAGAAAAATATTAATTATAACTTTATGTATTAATATCTATATACCATTATTTTAGTAATGAAGCGTTTTAAATAAAAATCATCCACGCATTATATCTGAGGAACCTATAAAAATCATTATTAAAGTAAGCTTTTTAATCCCGGAGACAAATTTGATATTTCCGAAGTTGCCAGGTTTTTGCATTTTTTAAATAGGTTTGCGCACAATCGGAAATTAATTATTTTTATAGGTTATTCAGAAATAATGTGTGGGTGTTTATTTCAAACGTATTATAAAAATAATTAAGTATAGGCATTAATGAATTTGCTGTTGTATCATAATAGTTTTTTTTATTTTTCACTAAACTAAAGACTAATTGTTTTTTTTTTAAATAAATGACCTTCTTATAGATTATCATAAAACATATATCTCTATAAAATGTTTAGATGTTATGAAAATGTTAGAGTGTAGCTTAATACTGTAAAAAATACTATTTGTACGGAAACGTCAAAAATGTATTTTTATACGTATAATGTAACGACATTTATAGAAAAACATAAATTTTAAAATTCTTTTGTAGGAACGTCATTTAAATCTTTAAAACTACTATGTTAAAAAGAGTGTCCGATTAAGCAAATCGCTATCGTCTACTGCAGCTGCTATCGGTACTCTGCTATAGGTGGTAACATTATTTGAAAATTTGACATTTGCATCTGTCAATTTAGTCTCCGGGATTAAAAAACAAACTATAAATATAATTATCCGGTAACGTCACAAAAATTTAAGAATCTGAAATACTGGCAACATAGGTAAACTCAAATTTGTGTCCAAAATAAAAAAACTCAGATAAGTATCGATACTTTTAACTATAGCTTTGTTATTCAAGTATCGAGTCCTATTTGATTTTATGTCAATTGCGCACTTTGAACGTATTTGTAGTATATATAATACTTGAATTGAACCTGATACCTGAATAAGGTATCAAGTTCTATATTCAAAATATATATATTAAAATTGATTCGATTTATAAAGTACTTGGTATCGAAATAAAAGTATCGAGTACATACTCGTATTTACTCAAGAATCAGGACATCCTTAATCCTATTTTACACAAAAATAAAATTCCTTTAGTTTTATGGCATTTTCGTTTTTTTCGAACAAAACTTACGAGTAAAGTATTATTGTGTTTCTGTTGTGATAAATGTGTCTATGTGAGAAATTATGATCCTAAGTAAATAAATAGATTTCTAAGCGTTTTTCGCTATTAATTTCTTATATATTTTTTGTTTAATATTAAAATGTGGTATTTAACCTCTGAAGTTGACCATAGGGTCATTTATATTCTACCTAACAAGGAAGTAACAATAGGTAGAAATGTGGATCATTTTGCCATACCTGATGATGCTTCAATCAGTAGGAAACACGCTACTTTGTCCAGTACTAGCAACGGATTATATTTGCAAGACCTTGGGTCCAGGTATGGAACCTACGTGAATAATTCTTGTGAGAAAATTGATAACAATTCGCTCATTAAACTGCAACGCAAAGATGTAGTTAAGTTTGGAAAACTGGATAATAAGTGGCAAGTTAATGAAGTAAATTTTATTACTTGCACATCTACATTAAAAGGAGAGCACCTTCAGACTTTAAAATTATGTGTCAGTAAAGTAGGAGGTATTATAAAAAGCGAATGGGATGATTCTTGCATGTATTTAACTATGCCTGCATTAACTTTGACTATAAAAGTTGTATTAGCATTAGTACAAGGGTCCCTCATTGTTACCACAGAATATTGGAATAAGTGCTTGGAAGCAATCAATGCCAATACATCAATGCCCAATCCAAACAATTTTAGCCCACAGATTGTGGAGTCAACACTTAATAAAGATATTGTATCATTTCTACCTAATGATAGTAGAAAAATATTATTTGATGGGAAGAAAATTGTATTTTTCTCAAGAAAACAATTTGAGATGTATAAATTGGTGTTAATTAAAAGTGCTGGAACTCCACTTTTACTAAGTGATTCAAAGATGACAAAGTCTATGCTATGTGAACAAGATGTTATTGTAATTCAGTGTAATCCTACGAGTACTGAGGTTAAAATGTTAAATGATGTCATAGATTATCTAAACAGCAAGGGCAAAAGAGTTATTGCTGATGCAGAAATTGGCCTAGCTATATTATACTGTTCAATTGAGAAGTATTGCAATCCATGTTTCAATTTTTCATCTGAAATAATAAAACAGAAATCAAATGAAATTCAGCAACCTGCTAAGGTGCTAGCACTGGAATCACAGGAACTAAATAAGACAGAAACTAAAAAAGAACATGTAGTAATAAATGAAAGTTTGACTTCTGAAAACTACCACGGCAACTTTTCAAAAAGAAGACTGAGTATTGATGGTGACGAAAATTATGGTAATGCATCAAAAAAATTAGCTACCGAAAGTGGAACTATTGAAAATAGTAATAAAAGAAAAAATTGTGGAGATATAAATGGACAAGACATAAATCCACATAAAAAACTTGCTACTACTAAGGTTGACAACAAAGATGATGATCTTTTCAATTTCATTGCACCTGCTAATAAAAGCCCACCAAAAAAACTTAATCTTCTAAAAGCAGTTAAAAGGAAGCAAGATATGAGAGATGATAATGAGGATGAGTTATTTCAATTCATTGAAGAAAAAAAGCCCTCACATGGTAATATTTCAAATAATAGTATTTTCAAGACAAGTCACAAACATAGTAATTCAGATGATGAAGCAGATCTTGATACTCCTATAAAAAAAATAAGTATGATATATGATGATGTAGATATATCAGCATTGAGAGGATGTAAGCTTGAAGAATTACGAAAGAACAATATGAATTCAACATCTACTATTAACATTCGTAAATTAAAACAAGAAATAACTGATGATTTAGATGAAAAAATGAGTAACCTTGATATAGGTTCTATTATTGTGACAATTAAGAAAGAACTAATAGTGAAAAAGGAGCCTCACATTGTCGAGTTACATAATAGTTCAGTGAAAAATTTCAAGAAATTTCAAAAGGTGTGGCCTTTGAAAAATCAATCCACTATTATTCTAGCTCTATGAACATGGTGGTACCAAATATAAATCAGGAGGAAATGTGCTCACAGAGTTATGACTAATGTTGAGAATAAAATTAATGTTCACTTCTGTTTATTATTCTTTATTTGTACACAATACAATAAAAATGTTTATTATATCTTTGTTTTGTATGATTAAAAAATCTAACTTTAGACTATTCACTGTCATTGTCAGATTCCTCTTGTTCATCATTTTCTTCAACTTCATTAGTATCTTGAGATTTGCTAAAAGAAAAATATTTAAAATTATATACAGTTTAGAATTTAATATTATAGAAAAAATAATTAACAGGAACATACACTTTTAATAGTGTCTCTAAAAAGTAGAAATCAATTCAAATACACAAGCATTGTATTTATTAAGTGAAATTAAGGAATAAGACATCATTAATAGCTATGGTGCAATTATACACCACTTTTAAGCTAATGGGCCAGCTGGGCCCTTTGATATAGTAAATTTTAATGATTTATAATAATAACAACATAAATAAAAAACACAAATAACCTAACACATACCCTGCTTATAAGATGCAGTGTAGTAGGTTGAATATTAATTTTGCTATTTAATTTGATCGATTTGAATTTCTTAATTGTGTGATAATCAAAAAAACATCCCATTAATGATCTTATTACTATTTTGTTATAAATCACACCCTTTGCAACATACGGCTGCTTAAATATGTTTATGAGGTCCGCCCGAAAACCATTTCTAAAATTTAATTTAACTTATGAGTTTCTCCCATCCCTATATTGTTATAAAATTAATTATATATAATAATAAAAGGGCAGCACATACTAAACAGAAACAGTTTTTTCTAACGAGTTACTTGTAGGCGACTTGTTCACACATACAATACGAAATCACGGCGGCTGGGCTAGCTTTTATTTTGCATTAATTTGTAATTTTTTTATTATATTTATTAGAAATAGTTTTGTAAATTATTAATAATTATTACTTTATGTGCACCCGGTAAAAAAAACTTAATTCCATTTGGCCCTTTGTTGAGAAAGGTTCCTTTAGATATTTAGGGCAACATTACAACTATGTAGGTGCTGAAGTTATGATGTTGCCTTAAAATAAATGGCAATGATGAGTGATATTATGTTGTTGAAAAATAGATTTTTATTTTGCAATAAAAGCAGCAAACATAATAGTAGCTTATGCATTAATTATATGCATGATTTTTTCCAATTTTGGGAATACATAAATAAATATTCTTTCATTCACCTTTTATGTGGTCTTTTTACATGCACAGTGCCATCAGGTGCCACTTTGACTGTGCTGTCTGGAATAGTAGAAAGTTCATCCTCAACTGTAGCAAAATGTTTTGGTTTCTTGTGTACAAGTTTTGGTGCATTAATCACGCTGGACGGTCCTGTAGAAAAAAAAATATGATTGATTTGTTTCTTTGTGAGATAGGGTTAAGTATAAATTGCAAAATTCTATGTATGCTCAGAGTTCAAAAGCAAGAAAAGATGTGAATTCGAAATATTTTCTACTAACACTACCATCTTTAGCTTAGATGATACTTGAATTTTGTTGTAGGACAAGAAGACAATATTTATGCTTTCAAATCAACTAAGAACAATATGTGCGTTACTGTACACAGCATACTTAAGCTGATTCAGCAAACCACTTCCAGTTTTCACAAGTTTGATTACTTGCATAGTGCAAACATTTGCATTCATAAGTATGATTTGTATTAATCTGAGTAATTCCTATGTATATCTTTTATGTACTTACAAGCATAATACAAGCTCTGCTTAGCTCTACTAGATGGTGCTGTGTTAATTTTTCAGGGTTATTATTTATTATTATACAATAAATTCTAAATCATCAAATCCAATTAGTTTTCAGAACAGACCAGCTGTTAGCCTGTTTAACTTAAATAAAGTTTATCTAATTTACATAGATTACTTACTTAGTGTTATATATAAAGGCAATGACAATGACAATGGAAGCTTCAGAGCAAGTGATCTTATATTAGCATCTCCTCCAGGATATTTTGTTTTCAATTGTTGTACTAAAGAAATGACATTTTCTTTTATCTGTTCTCTGGGCATGCCTGTGTGCCCAACAACAATTGTTGATGTAGCTCCAAGATTCAATCGAAGCATGGCTGTTCTTAAACCAATATCAATATCTTTCTTAATATTACCATTCTCATTTAATCTGACAGGTATGATCATATTATGTTTTTTGAAAAAGATTTTCCCTAAAAGGTGGGATACATGACTTAAGACTCTAGTGTCAACCATGATGAAGTCATGCTGTGTTAATAGTCTTCGTTTTAATTCATACTGATCATATTCAACTGCTAACTGCCTTACTGGAAGTATGGTTTTCACCTGTAATTAAGAATTATACATGAACATGATACTTATTAGTTACAATTAAATTAAAAATTATATATATATATATATATATATATATACTAAAGTCTGAATTTTAAACTATACTTTGTAATTCTTGAGACCCCAATACTGATTTATTATACAAATTGCCATTAAAAGAAATTGAAACTATACACTAGTTTCAATTTCTTTTAATGGCAATTTGTATTGTCACAAAATAAATAAATAAAATGTAGATAAATTTAAACAAACTAAAAATTTCTCTATTTTGTCCATATTTTGTTTAGATATTTTTAATGTTCCATAAAATTACATGAAGATTTTGTTATAATTTTGATATAGCTTTTCAATTAGTACTATTGTCAACAAACAATATTAATTACAAATAGTAAAGCTTACTGCTGTAACATTGGCATTTCTCAATATGTCTTCCCAACGGTCTATAGTTGGCTCATGATCATGCCTCTTTCCTTTTTTTAAATCTGGTGTCACAAGACAAATCTCATTGGTTGAAAAACAAGTACTGTGCGGCAGGACACTGAAAAGTATAAAAGTACGTTATTTAATATTTCGCGTTTTGTACACTTTATCAATATAGTTAAGTGGGTTTTAACATAATTTTCTGGTAAACAAAGGCTGCTTCATTGACAGTTAGTTTGCAACTGATATAAGTTGCGTTAATGTAGTTAAAACAACTATAGAACAATTGGAATAAAACAAGTATTTTAATTAGTTAGACATAATACCTGATTATGAATCAAACTTATTTTGCCTTTATAAATAAATTAATAACCTATAGAGTTTATTTCACTAAACTAAAGTATAGTTACTATTAGAATGACATACATTTTAATATTGCCTTTGGAATTCTGGATTTTTATACAGTTTATTTCGGCAAATATTTGTGTTTCTTCATCGAATATTGCGTTTTTCTTCTTACTAGTCATCTTCAATTGTTCTAAGGCTATTAAACACTGCTCTATAAGATCACCAGTAATACTTTTTGATGGCATTATGTATTTAGTCTTCTTTATTGTTTGTGTTTCAGGCTGTGTAGTTATCAAATTCTTCTTATTTAAAGGCTCTATTTCACTAGCAATTTTTGTTTTCAATTTACGTTTTTCAACTTTAGATTTTAGTTTTGCACTACCCTTGTTTAGCCTGTCCTTGGGACGAATTTGTTTTATTGAAACCATTGTAAATTAATTAAGTATATAAATAATTTGTAGGTTGTAACCAAGTTGTAACTATAACACACGTGAAAGTTTTAAACAAAGTTTTTTTTATATTATTCGGCTCTGGATATTTGCGCAGTGTTGCCAAATGTTTGTCTAGAAATTCTACAAAATTCAGTTTTTGATAAATCTCTCCGAAAAAGAAGTCTGAATTCTGATGACCTTTTTTTATTTTTAGATCGCTTGATCTATAGCAGTTCTTGTTTTCTTTTTATACTTCAATCGGTTTTTGGAACTATTGATGGCATCACTGTTAGGGATAGGTGCCTAATGTACGTACATCGTACGCCAATACTGTTCCCTACCTTGTTGATTATCGTCGAATATATTATTGTGGACTGAATCTCTATTCTATTTTATTAATTTATGGAAATTAATTATTTTGTACAAATCTTTTAGGGTCGCCATCTGTAAATATTCTTACAATGCAATATACATATCTGCAAATAGCCAGGAATTGTTTCATGTGTTAACTTCCTCTTTCCTGGTGTTGTTGCTACAAAGAAACACACAGTATTAATATAATAGTGGCTTTCATATACATATAACCGCTCGATTGGTAATCCAAGACGTTGCAGCACTGCACCCACGGTGAAGCGTGAATTTACTTCAGTCCATGTGTCATCCCTATTTCACTCCTTTTCCTTACCTGCATATTTACCAATCCAAAATCTACACCTATCGTAAGTAAGTACTATTGAGGGTTTATAGAATTGTCCATCACCCAAGTTTTTACAGGCATTGTACCTACTCGCCGCCCGCCGCTGATGAAAGAACCATGCAACGCAGTCAGGATACGTACTACGTACGAATCGGACCTCAATACTCAGATTTTATATTGTTATTAGCTGTGCCCGCTGTTTCAACCGTGTGAAATTTATAGCCTACATGTATGTTAATATTACTGTAAAGTTTAATTAGAAAGCTATTCAGTAGTTTTTGCGCGAAAGACAAACATCCATCCATCAATGTATCCACACTCGCAAACTTGCTGTAGCCGTAATTTTTTTAAAAGTGTTTAATATAATTTTGTGTTCTAATCTTACTATGTAATATTACGTTATCTGCGCTAATATTATTAACGCGAAAGTTTTTGAGTATGGATGGATAACTGGATGTTTGTTACTCTTTCACGCAAAAATTGCTGAACGGATTTTGATAAAACTTTTCAGTAATGTAGTTAATACATCAGAATAATATATAGGCTATATTAAAAAAATATTATCTAAATTGGGAGAAATATAATGATGAATGTCAAGTAATTGTGATACGGATGATGTTGCGCGGGTGAGTTAGTTAATTTATATAGCATATGTAGGTAGATATATTATCCTTTTTCATATTAAATACTAATTTCTTTTATTCGATCTCGCATTGGTCGCATAGAAAAAAATGGCGTAATCCGGCATACAACGTGATCCTGTTATATTCGATTATGGAAAACAAATATTATCTATTCACTAAAATATGTTTTTGTTTATTTGATTATTAACAACAGCTAACAAAAGTAATTAGTAAGTATGTGATCTGTACCTATTACGAAGGTCAAGGGTAGGTTGCGTCTTGTATTGCTATTCCGGGAACTAAAATGTCATTATGCTATATTTCAATCTTTAAAAGGAAACATAGCTATGCTATGGTTCCTTATTTTCTTAGCGACTAAAATAAATGAAACAAAAGTACAAAAAGATATATAGTAAGGCACCGCAAAATGATAATAGGCAAAATAATACTATTACTCTATATCTCACTGTAATTTTCAATTAAGTAGGTGTAGGTAGTAGCAAAGAATATAAATGCATTATGAAAGAATATTTGGTTTAGTAGGGAATACGAAACTAGATACAATTAGGGAGGTGCAATATTGCTTTGGTTTTCTGGCAATGATCCAAAAATCGACACCTGTATTTGAGAAAATGCATTTGCGGCCTTACCTAGCTATCGCACAATTCATGAAAATAGATTCCTTCATAAATATTTCCGTTTCAGTATAGTTAAAGCACTTAGAAATTATTTTTAGGACGTAGGTAAGTTTGTACACTATGGATGGGAACTGATGCCCAGTAAATGATGCGCCCCATTTACATGCAGTACCTAGGATTTGTTAAATAAAGAATGAAAGAAAGAAAGAAAGAAAATTGTTTATTTGGTACACTGAAAATAATTTTAAAATTTTAATTTACATTTTTATATTAATTTTAATTTTTTTATTAATAAATAGTAATAAGTAGATCTACTGAGTATCTCTGTGTTCTATTGTTAACTATAGGTATTATAGCAAGAGCGTGGCTAAAACGGACTTAAAACTGTGAGTTCTATCCAGAACATGATGGCTACGGTAGTAAACATTATACAGCCATCATCAAGGCAGGGAGGAGATTGCTGATAATGTAGATTGGTCGCCCCATTCTTTGCAACCTCCATGCGGTTCCTTCTGAAAACTATAATGGTTAATCCGTGGTGAATTCATTAAAATGGACTAATTGTCCTGATCTTTGCTCATCATATTATTCTCCATTGGTGCCTCGTTAGCATATACCGTTAGCGAAAGCATCATTCAATTATCATATATAAAAATATAAAACTAAGCTACACACCGAATCTGGGCCTTAATGCTGTTAATGTGTGAATGAATGTTAATGATCATGAGTTTGCAGTACTATTAGTGTTTCTACGACGGCTTCACTGAATACCTTCTCCACGGCTACGATGTCCTGCAGGGAGAGCTGTACCTACATATTGTGGAAAATATAATAATGTTATAATAATGTAAAACACTATCTAATGTTGTTATAATGTTTCGCAATGACTATATCGCATTGAGGTCTAATTTTGTACACGTTGTATTGTTGTATAATAAATAATAAAAATATAAATAGTAGGTAATGATCCAAATCAGTAAAATCAAGCAATTAAATAAAGATCAAACCTTTAGAATCTTCCCCTTTCTGCTATTACACCACCAGAATATATATACCTGCATTGTTCAATTTTAATTTGCATTTAATACGTTTATTATTCTTTCAATAAGAGGGTACTTTTAGGTGAAAAAATATCAACATAGAACATATTAAAATTACATACCATTGTCGGTATGTATATATGGTACCTACCTATATTAATAATATATTTATACTTGTCACTCTACCTTTAATAAGAATATATGGATAAAATTTCCTTTGGAAACTTTCATTTAATTTCTTACAAATATCACTACAGATTCTAAAGACTATTTCTTATTATGCGACATTTATTTGCTGGTATTTTGATATATATTTATAGTGTAACATTTTTGTAGCTGATGCATTGACCAAAATAATTTAGTATTTATTTGTTGAAAGACATAGCGGACATGCAAGTGGTGAATATTTGTCATTGTATATATAAGCAAACGGAGATAGTGGCAGTGTATGTCTTAGCACAGATAACATAATATTACATAGTCTTAGTAAAATCGATAAAAGTAAACATTGTTCTACTAACCAGACCTAATGACTAATTATGGGAACTAATAACCCACTCAATATATACAGATGTTCTATATTTGGCCGTACCTACATTACCCACTCTTCTTAAAATTAGGTAATAAAACCTACAGATAATTAGTTTTGGTATGTTGGATATCAAATAATAATATTAGGTGCTAAAAGTAAAAATAGAATGAAACTAACTTGGTTTTATATTTTTTATAGAACACTGAGGGATATACACACTAAATAGAAGCTTAACCTGCCTACTTATGCATTTTTATTAATATTAATTAATTTAATATATATTTCTTAATTTATCATGCTGTAACATAGTAAGAACTAAACCGATTACTTCATCTTTTTTTTATTGTCTGATAATAATTTATAAATAATTTTAGAAAACTAATACATAGTTAGGAACTCCCTGGCGAAATCATAAATGCAAAATATATAATATTAACGACATATAGTTAGATTCAGTAAGAACATAAATGAAATAGTCAATAAACATCAAACCAAGCAAGCACCTATACCTTATTTCTAATCTAGTAGGGAATCAAATTATCTTACTCAGAAAAAAAGAAAATCTTGCAATATGAGAAAACCAGATAATGAAAAGTCTTAGTGCTCCACTCATTCCAGTATCCAGTAAAACTTTATTTGCTAAATTTGATCAACCGAGAATGAAACCCGAAAATTAATTAACACCGAGTAACATGTTGGACTATTAAGGACGTCAAAGTTGATTTGTTTGTGTAAGTAGGTAATAGGTATACTTAATTATTAGGTGTGGTGTAGTAAAATTGGATGTGTCATGTTTCTAATGAGTCCTAGTGAATTAGTTAATATAATTTATTTAGTGTAAGTGTTAGTACGATATTAATACATGAACATATATGAAACCAACTTGTTGGGTATTACAATTGTATTTAAATAAATAATGACATGTCTTTATATGCAGGAAGACTTATAAAAATAATTATAATAATGTTTTGCTTGTACTTAGAATCTCGTCATCATAATCATGACTCATCATGATATCATAAATGAAATTAGAGCACCTACATTAAAATCTTAGTTACCTTGTTATGATTCCCAAGATTCATCAATCATATTGGATTTAAGATTATGTCAATTTCATTTTATCATTTTGTGCTTCGACACCTAGAGTTTGATGATTTGGAAGGGACATAACTTTTAGCACACCTACCTGTATAATGTTTTGCTGTAAAAGATTGATCTAAAAAGGTTACAAAACTCTTGTATCGACTTTGCGAACTCCCCGATCAAACATAAATTTATTTTCGGTGTCATAACTTACTCACTGAACTTTATTATGGGTTCGAGTAAATATAGCATACGAGTATGGTGAATACAATTTACAAAGCTTATCTCGTGTTAAAATAAGTAGGTACTGAACTAATCGAAGGAGTCTGAACAGAAAAAAATATATGTACTAAAATTGTTAGATATAATAGTCAAAAGTATTTGTAATTAATTTGATTCATGTATTTATATGTATATCCGCTGTGGTTTCTAGGAAAGATGATGAGAAGATCGACCACATATGCTA